GGCCCAAAGCTTTGGGAACCTGCACCCGTGCGGGAGACCCGGAAGAGGCTCCTGGCTTCGGATCGGCATAGTATCGGCATCGGATGGAAGATCTTCCTCTCTCTCTCTCCTCTCTCTGTATATCCGCCTTTCCAATGAAAAAATAATAAAAATAAATCTTAAAAAAAAGAAAATACATGTTAAAAAAAGAAAGTTGGGGGACATTGGTCTGTTTTAGTGTTTGCCTTTTTTGGTAAATCTAAATAAATATTCGTTATTGTGGTGGATGAGGGTTGACCTTCTCACACTCCCTCGTTACATGTTGTCTGGTCGTCCCTCCCGGAGCCTCCCCCTGGCTTAGGCACCTGGCAGGAGGGAAGTAAAATGAGACACATGCTCAGAGCCCACCCTTCCCGCGCGCTGAACCCCCAGCTGCCAGTTCTGCTGGTGTGTGGCAGACAGCAGCTGCACCTGGTGGGGGCTGGGGGTGGGCTTCAACTCATACCCACCCAGAGTAGCCACAGACTGAAGGGAAGTGACAGCGCCTCCTTCATGCAGCCTGTGGTAGCGGTGAACATGGAGGCGGAGCAAGAAGACAGAACCCCAAAGACCCTGCACCCACCTGGGAGACCGGGAAGAGGCTCCTGGCTCTTGGCTTCAGATCAGCACAGTGCCGGCCGTTGCAGCCACTTTGGGAGTGAATCGTCAGGTGGAGGAACTCTGTCTCTCCTCCTGTTTGTATAGCTGACGTTCCCATAAAGGTAAATAAATCTTAGAAAAAAAGAAAGAAAATGAATAAATAAATCTATTTTTATGAAAATGCAGAGTGAGCAACACACTGAGATCTTCCACCCCCTGGCTCACTCCCTAGCTTCCGGGCCAGGCAGGAGCTTCCGAGTTGCCCACATCAGCAGCCCAAGGCCTGGAGTTCTATAACTGCTCCCCCCGCCCATGCTTCACAGGGAGCTGGATCTTCCATTTTTAAAACCTTTAAAAGGTTTATTTGTATTGGAAAGGCAGATATACAGAGAGTTGGAGAGACAGAGGGGAAGATCTTCTGTCCGCTGGTTCACTCCCCAAGCTGCTGCAACAGCTGGAGCTGAGCCAATCCGAAGCCAGGAGCCAGGAGTTCTTCCGGGTCTCCCACGCGGGTGCAGGGTCCCAAGGCTCTGGGCCGTCCTCCACTGCTTTCCCAGGCCACAGACAGAGAGCAGAATGGGAAGTGGAGCTGCCGGGACACACACTGCACCCCTATGGGATGCTGATGCTGGCAGGTAGATTAGCTTGCCGGGCACCACACTAACAGCCAGGACTCTAACCGGGGCTCCCCCTGATGGTAGGGGGCAATGTGGATGTTCTTAGCGTGAGAGTTGAGCCTGGGTTTTCATTTCCTGTGTGGTTGTAGCAAAGATCACAAATGGGGAGACTCCAGTGGTCCGTAGAAGCTGGGCAGGGACGCCTCCTCCGTCTCTGCTGATTTGCCCTAGCGCCAGGTGTCCCCGTGGGTCCTATGGCCGCATCACACACCTTGTTCCTGCCTCCGTCTTCATGTGGGCCTCTGATCTCTTTCTCCTTTTTTGAAACTATATATTTGAAAGAACAACAGAGAGATCTTCCATCTGCTGGCTCACTCCCCCAAGCACTCACACCAGAAGGGGCAGGGCCAGGCTGAAGCCACGAGCCTGGAAATCCACTGGGGTCTCCCAGCCGGGGTGACAGGGATGCAAGCCCTGAGGCCACCAGCTGCTGGTGTGTGTGTGTGTGTGTGTGTGTGTGTGCAAGCAGGGGGCTGGATGAGAAGCAGAGGAGTCTGACCCGTGCTGCCATAGAGGATGCTAGTGACACAAGCAGTGGCTGAACACGCCACATCGCAACATCAGGAGCCCCAACACACGGATGCCTGATGACGCAGAGAGGGGCTTCTGGAGGTGGGTACGCAGCACGCTTCAAGTCCTGACTGTCCCACTGCTAAACCCAAGCTCTCTGCTAACAGAAAACAGCGGGGGTGGCCCGAGCGGCTAGCTGTGTGCCATCTATGCAGGGGACATGGATGGGGTGCTGGGCTACAGGATCTGGCTTGACCCAGGCGAGCACTTGGGGGAACAGAGCAGTACGTGGGAACATTCTCTCTCTCTCTCTCTCTCCCTCTCTCTGCGTTCCTCATCAAGTGCATGATATAATTAATAACTAGGAACATGGGCCCGGCATGGTAGCATAGTAGCTGAAGTCCTCGCCTTGCATACTCCAGGATCCCATGTGGGCACAGTTTATATTCAGCTGCTCCAATTTCAGCTCCCTGCCTGTGGCCTGGGAAAACAGTGGAGGACGGTCCAAAGCCTTGGGACCCTGCACCTGTGTGGGAGACCCGGAAGAAGCTCCTGGCTCTTGTCTTTGGATCAGCTCAGCTCTGGCTATTGTGGTCATTTGGAGAGTGAAGCAATAGACAGAAGTTCTCCCATCAAGGGCAATTAATTAAGAATTGAAGCAGCTGGCTCTGGCAGAGCACTTAGGCAGCCCCAAGTTGCCTGTGCTGTTCGGCTCTCAGCAGCCCCGAGGGAGGGAGCAGGCAGCGGGGCCACCGGATGAACTAGCAGGAAAGGGCAGGGGGGGCGAGTCCCGCGCTCTCACAGGCGTCATCCGGGAGATATTATCCATCCGCCCTTTTCCAAGCAGCCATCCGAGGGGACCTCTGCCTCGCAGAGTCTCGGCCCTCAGCCCCGACACCCACGGGGGGCAAGCCGGGGCCGGGAGCTTGTGGCTTACAAAGGGCAGCAGCGCAAAGCGCTAATATGAAGCGGACGCAGCCAATGGGACGTTCCCTCTCTGTCCCTCTCTCTAACTCTGCTTTCCAAATAAACAAATCGATCCTTGAACAACCCTCTTTCAGTTTTAATTTTCTTAAACACTATAAAATGTATTTATTTTTAAAAGATGTATTATTTGGGGGCCTGGTGTGATGGTTCAACTGGCTAATCCTCCCCCTTCTTGGGCCTGACATCCCATATGGGCACCAGTTCGAGTCTCAGCTGCTCCACTTCCCACCCAGCTCCCTGCCCACGCACCTGGAAAAGCAGTGGAGGACGGCCCAAAGCCTTGGGACCCTGCACCCGCGTGGGAGACCCGAAAGAAGCTCCTGGCTTCAGATCGGCTCAACTCCATTACAGCCACTTGGCGAGTGAATCATCAGACGGAAGATCTTCCTCTCTGTCTCTCTTCTCTTCTCTGTATATCTGACTTTCCAATATAAGTAAAGACATCTTTGAAAAAGAAAAGAAAAATAAGAAACAAACAAATATTTCCATTTTTCCTCCTGTGTCTGAAGAAGCTAAGTGTTTTCTGCTTTTGTGCTTTCTGCCTCGCTTGCTTGGCTGGGGGCTGTGTGACCTCCAGGCCTGGCAGCCTAGGTGACAGGACAGGACACCGGGAGGACACTGGCAGGACACCCGGCAGGTTGCATAGGCAGAGCACGCCTCAGGAAGGAGACTCGCTCATTGCCCTATAAACCACCAGTTTTCACTCTTTGAAAGTTGCTTGTTTCCAACTCACCGATAGAAGCCTGCCAACTTGCTCTTGTAAAAGTTAAACTGACCAGTCATGACTGTAGAATTGTGTGGAATCAGCCTGAAATGCATGAACAACCCTGTGCTGTCCAACCTCGCTCTCTCCTTTTTCCTGCCCCTTCTGCTGCGGCTTTTCCTGCTTCGGCCGTGGCTACTGCTCCTGCTGGGCTGGGCTGGGGGCTGGGGGCTGGGGGCCCCCTTCGTCCGACCAGACGGCCCTTACACATTTGCATCAAATTCAGACTCCTGATGATTTTCGGGAGATCCGCAAAATCTGGGCCCAACAAGTCTGCTGGAGGTGGGAGGGCAGGGGCCTGGGGGAGAGGGCAGACAGCCTGTTGCTCCTCGCTGTCAGACCATGTCAGCACCCGGGAATGGAGATGGCCGTGGCCCCAACGCGGGGAGACTGCCCTGAGGGGGTTCCTTGTGTGATGTTGAGTCTTCTGAGGAGCTGCACGGAGGGCTGTTGGCTGTCCCCTCTGCTTCAGTGCGCTCACAGATCCAGGCGGCCTGTCCTCCACATCCTTGGTTGAGGGATTCCAAGCTTTCTTTGGGTGTAGATGAGCTGGCTGTCTTGTGTTTCTTGCTCATCCGGGTGGACTCTCCATTCTGACGTGTCCAGGCTGAGATCATACGTCTGAGTGATTTTTGCTGAAGTCAGGTGCAAGTGCAGCAGTTTAGATGAGGAATTCCTAAAACCCCTGGGGGGAGGGAGGGCATCTTTACACTTTGCCCTCATGTGTGCTAGCTGGTACACGCTGGGTCGCTGGGTCAGGTTCAGTCTGCCCTGTACCAGTCAACCCCTGAACCAGTGGGTGCAGGGTTGGGTTCAGTCTGCCCCTGTACCAGCCAACCCCTGAACCAGTGGGTGCAGTTGCCTGACCAGCCTCATCTCCAGCCCTGGCTCTTGCACACGCTGGTGGATGTTGTGGACCTGGACCAGTCTGGACAATCCTGAAAAACCCCTGCTAAGCCCACCCCAGTTCTTGTGCTCACCAGCAGGTGTTGCAGCCTAGCCTGGGTGACCCCTACAAACCCCTACCATTCCTGTCCTGGCTGCTCCATTTCCCATCCAGCTCCCTGCCTGTGGCCTGGGAAAGCAGTGGAGGACGGCCCAAAGCCTTGGGACCCTGCACCCCATGGGGGAGACCCGGAAAAGGCTCCTGGCTTCTGGCTCCTGATCAGCTCAGCTCCAGCTGTTGCGGTCACTTGGGGAGTGAACCATTGCATGGAAGATGTTTCTCTCTCTTCTCTCTGTAAATCTGTCTTTCCAATAAAAAAAAAATAAATAAATCTTAAGAAGAAAAAGCTTAAAAATTAAAAAAAAAAATTACATAGCTAAGAAAGTATTGACAGCTATCTCTGAGCGCCACAGGGTTGTAGAATTCGCTCCGTCTTTATTGTTACTGAGACGGTCACGAGTGATCCCAACCCTGTGGGGGTCTGGTTGAGTCTTCCACCCTCCCCTTCCCTCCCGTCTGTGCTCAGTCAAGGTCCTCTCGCCCACCCCACGCAAGATGACAGCAAGCTGAGCTGTCTTGCCTGTCCCCCGGCTAAAGGTTATCACCACTCGTTGCTGGCGAAGGGAAAGGTCGGGTCACCGCGCGGAGAGGGGAGGGGGCAATGAGTCCCCCCGAGTCGAGGGAGATAAGGGAGGTGACGGCCTCCATCGGGCGGGGTGCGGGCCGCACAAGGTATAAATCCTCGGGGGCTACCTGGAGGCAGGGCAGACGTGGACCGGAGCTGTGTGTGCCGCCCCAGTGCTGTGTCCGGCATGGCCAGGCTCTCTCTGCTGCTGCTGCTGCTGCTGCTGCTGGTTGGGGAACGATGGCCAGGGGCGCAGGCCCGGGCAGCGCCCTACGGGGTGAAGCTCTGTGGCCGGGAGTTCATCCGGGCTGTCATCTTCACCTGCGGTGGCTCCCGCTGGAGGCGATCCCAGAGTCTGGGCACAGGTGCGCAGGCTGGGCGGGGTGTGTGCAGGTGTGTGTGTGCAGGTGTGTGTGTGTGTGTGTGTGTGTGTGTGTGTGTGTGTGTTGGCCAGAGGAGAGGAGGAAAGTCAGGGGTGTGTGTGTGTGTGTGTGTGTGTGTGTGTGTGTGTGGTGCAGGTGGAGGGTGTGTGTGTGTGTGTGTGTGTGTGTGTGTGTGTGTGTGTGTGTTGGCCAGAGGAGAGGAGGAAAGTCAGGGGGACACAAGACCCTCCCCTGCCTCGTTGCACGCATCTGAGGAGACCCTCAGCCTGGCTTGGGGACCGGGACGCCGTGGTTGGAGGGGCCGAAGGGAGGAACAGGGGACAGCAAGCCAGGGTCGCGCTCCAAGCCCCAACCTGAGCCAGCCGAGCAGCTGCCACTCAAAACTGTGACAATGAAATGCCCTCTGACCTCTTGGGTTCAAGGGCCCAGGGTGTGCACCACCTTAATAGCTGTGTGCCCGTTTGCTACCTGGCTCTGCCTCAGTGGTCGCCTCTGGTAAATGGGCCCACCGTTGGCACCACGAGGCTTAGAGAGGGCAGATCTCACAAACTTCCCGCCAGCATCTGGCACACAGATGGGTCACAAGGCAGGTTCCTGAGCTCGTGGCTCACACAGCAGATGTGGCTGGAAGCCTTTTTGATGAATAGAAACAACCTGGCATTCAACGAGGAGCCTGATGAGAATCAGCTGTCCTCCAAACCCCGCTTTCCTTCCCAGGGCGCGTGCAAGCTGCAGGGAGATTCCACACACGGAGGACTGTAACGTGCAGAGGCTGGGATCGACCGGCAGTCTGTCCTCCATAAATAAAGAGCAGGGGGATTCAATGACCAGAAGGGAAAAGTCACGACGGGAAACAGAACCCCAGGATTGGCAGCCAGAGTGAGGCTGGGGCTCCAGGCCACACAAGAACCAAAACCTTGGAGAACTCACCTTTCTCCTTCTGTCTTCACAGCAGGTGAAGCCTTCCCCGAGGTGGTGGCAGACCCAGACAGCCTGGTCGCAGGAGAGCTGGAGGCCACTGTGAGCTCCAGCGAATGGCTGGCACTGACCAAGCCCCCCCAGGCCTTCTACAGCGCTGGCAGCCGGCCGGCCTGGCAGGGAGCCATCCGAGGTGGCCGGGATGTCCTGTCAGGCCTCTCCAGCAGTTGCTGCAAGTGGGGCTGCACCAAGAGTGAGATCAGCGTGCTATGCTGAGTCCCAGCCTGAGACCCCCGGCCGCCCCAGGGGTCCCGCACTGGCAGGCAGCCCTCTCCTGCCCCCTGCCGCGCCCTGCCCTCCTCCGCGCCATCCTACATCCGATGTTCCGTCACCTGGGGATCCCAGACTTGCCCTCTGAGCTCAGGCATCATCCCCTGTCCAACATCGCCCCCCCCCCCAAGGCCGCGACCTTGAGCTGCACCCCTGACCTTGTGCTGCTGGGAGCCTAAGCTGCGCCCTGAACTGGCCATTGCGGTGGGGGAGACCCCTACCTGACACTCCTCCCAACTCGGAGCGATGTCCCCAGGGTCCCAGCCCTGCCTGCCTAGATCCTTGGACCCCCCAGCCCCACCCCAGGGACTTAGGATGGACCCCACGCCCTCCAGGTTGGCCTCCTGCATAACCCCTTTGGGTGCACCATGAAACAAAAAACAAAACAAAATAAAAAGTGCTTCAAAGGGTTCCGAGGGTTTTGTGTCGTCGCTAGGGTTGGGGAACGCGGGATGGGGGAGGAGGAAGAGGGGTTCCGCCTCCCCCAAACCCCAGCCAAGCCCCGCCCCGTCCCCCCCACCTCTGCCGGGAACTTCCCGCCGCGGGCCGGGCGGGGAGGAGCGCAAGGTGCGGAGGCGGCGGCCTGCAGCGCTGGCTTTCCGGCTGCGCCGCCGGGTCCCGGGGCGCCGCGGGGCGCCATGCGGGCGTCCTGGGTCACCCGCTCCTGGGGGCTGTGGACACAAGCACTGGGATTACTGCTGCTGCTCCAAACGAGCCGCCCGCGAGGTGAGCGACGGGGTGGGTGGGAATCGTGAGCAGCCGGGGTGCTGGGGATGCGCAGCTGTCTCTCCCCTGCACTCCAGCTGGGGGACGCGGTGCCGAGCGCATGGGAGGACGGTGGGGGGGGAGGATGTGGCTGACAGGCCCGGGCCTGTGTGTGTGTGTGTGTGTGTGTGTGTGTGTGTGTGTGTGCGCGTGTGGGGGTGGGGGTGCCCAGAGCCCCCTTTCCTGCCCCCTTTCCTGCCGGGGATCATCCTCCGCGAGGGTCTCGAGCTCGCCCCCTGCCCCCAGGACTCGGTCAGGTTCATCAGGGTGCGGAGGGAGGTGGGGTCTGGCCGCAGCATCCACCCCGAGTCTCTGTGGCTTCCCCTGCAGGCAGCGCGGCGGTACGGCAGTGCCACAGGATCGCGCCCCTGGGCGACCTGAACTGCTCGTGGGAGGCGCGTGGGGACCCAGCAGCTCCGCTCCTGCTGCACCTGCAGAGCCAGAAGTAGTGAGTAGTCTGCACGGCCGGCCCGGGCGCCCGGGGAAGCGGGCTGGGGAGGCCACCCTCTCCCTCACTTTGCGGTTTCCTGTGTGTGTGTGTGTGTGTGTGTGTGTGTCTGTGTGTGTGTGTGTGTGTGTGTGTGTGTGTGTGTGTGTGTGTGTGTGAGAGTTTGGTTACTTATTGTCTCTGTGCTTCTTCCGCTAAGAGGTATCAGCGGTGATGGCTTTGCTGGTGAGAATTTTAGTGAGTTAAGCGTTCTAGAAACAAGGAGAAAAACCTTCACAATGTGAAGCTTTTTTTTTTTCAGATTTATTAATTTTTTGTTGTTGTTGTTGGAAAGTCAGATATACAGAGAGGAGGAGAGACAGAGAAAAAGATCTTCCTTCTGCTGGTTCACTCCCCAAGTGGCCGCAATGGCCAGAGCTGAGCCGACCCCAAGCCAGGAGCCAGGAGCTCCATCTGGGTCTCCCACACACGGGTGCAAGGTCCCAAGGCTGTGGGCCGTCCTCCACTGCTTTCCCAGGCACATGCAGGGAGCTGGATGGGAAGTGGAGCAGCTGGGACTTGAACCAGTGCTCCGATGCTGGAGTCTCATGCAGTGGTTGAATCCACCACACCCTGTTATGGTCCCAGTCATGTATGACATGCATTTCCTTCACTTTCTCATCTTCTCATCTCTTCCCCGCTGCCCCTGCATGACTCTGCAGCTGCTGTTCACGCCCACAGCCACACAGGAGGTCACATGGTTCGCTCAAGGTCTCACAGCTCTGGGATCCAAACCACGGGCAGTGGCCGCCTGCCGATCCCCAGGGCTGTCACCCAGTGGCCCCAATATCCAATCAGACCCCTTCTCCCCGCCACACGCGCACACATACACACACTCATATCTCCTCCCAGTCACCCCAACAGGACGCACACCGTGAGAGTGGCCGCTGGGCAGAGCTGGGTGACCATCCCTCGGGAGCAGCTGACCACCTTGGATAAACTCTTGGTTTGGATGTCCCAGGCGGACCAGCCCTTGGGATCCCCAATCTCTGTGAACCTGGAAACCCGAGGTAGCGTGCTGGGGGAGGGGAGAGGTTGCCCGAAGGGAGGGGATGGTGTGGTCGAAGTCTCCCCTCCCCTCACCCCGACCTCTCGCCACCCCCAGTGAAACCGAGTGTCCCCCAGTTGTCCCCCGTTGTGGACTTCTCGGAGGATGAGCCCCTGGAAGCATCTATTGAGTGGACACCACCGTCATGGCCGTCCCATAAAGTCCTCATTTGCCAGTTCCGGTACCAGTCATGCTTGGAAGAGGACTGGGTCCCGGTGAGTGGCACGGGCCCTTTGCCTCCCACCCTGACCATCCCTGCGGTCGAGTCCCACGTCAGAGCCCCGGAGCCCCCGGGCCTGTGTCACAGTGCACCTGCAGCTACAGGCGCTCACGCAGTGGCCTGCTTGGCCATCAGGCCCCCTCCAGACATTCCCTCCCAAAATACGAGAGCAAGGTGTTTAGCGTACGAGTTGAGACATGGCCAGGGCCCAGATCTGCTTCCTGGCTCCACTGAACAGTTGTCCAAGCTCCCTGCTAACACACCTATGACGGCAACCAGAGGATGGCTCAACCACTTAGGTCCCTGCGCCGATACGGGAGACCTGGATGGAGCTCCCGGCTTCAGCCTGGCTTGTCACGGCCATTCGGGGAGGAGCCAACGGAGGAGACACCTCTCTCTCTTTCAGAATACTAATTAAATACATAATTAAAACATACACAAATGAGGAACATAGGGAGTCCAGGATTGGACTTAGTCCGTGTAAGCCAGGCCTACGTGCACCCCACCACACGGACACACATACCCACACCGTTTTTCCTGTCTCTCCCCAGCTGGAATCGGAGGTGAAAACCATCCCGCTGAGCCCTGTCGAGCTCCTGGACCTGGAGCTGGCCACCAGCTACAGAGTGGCCGGCCGCTGCCGGGTGCAGGATGAGGAGGATTTGTGGAGCGAGTGGAGCCCCAGTGTGTCTTTCCAGACCCCGCCCTTTGGTGAGCACACCTCCATGCCCTGGGCCGGGGGTGGTATGCGGGCGGTTACCCCGCAAGGCTTTAGCCAAGGCTTTGCTAGGAATATACTGAGGTATGGTGTCATTTCACTTCATTCTCCACACATGCCCTCCTCCACAATACACCCCTGATTTCCTTCTTTCTAGCTCCAAGGGATGTGTGGGTGTCTGGGAACTTCTGCAGCAACCAGGAAGTTCTGTTGCTCTGGAAGGTGAGTGGCAGGGACCAAGTCAGGGCTCAGAGGGAGAAGCCCCCGGGTGCCACGGCGTGACACGGTGTGACACGCTGCTCACTGGCGCCCACTGGAGGCTGCTTCGAGGACTGGGTGTGGGGGAAGGATTCAAAGAGGGAGGGTCAGTGGCAGGAGAGCTCTCACTTGCAGCAGCTGTCCCTGAGACATCCAGGACATGGTGAGGGTGCGGGCAGGGCTTCCTGGCACGGGACAGCGGAGCATGAATTGGAAGCAGAGCAGCCAGGATTTGAACTGCATGCCCTTAGAGGGTTGCCAGCATCTGCAGGTGCTGGCCTCACCTGGTGGGTCACCATGTTGCCCCTTCTGCATGAATCTTAGCCGTGCATGATGTGTGTTGGCCCTAGGCTGCTCACACGCTTGTATAAACGGACATGCAGGAAAAAGGCACAGTTTGTTGACTGCCACGGCAGGAACTGAGCTGAGCTGATGCCAGGAGCCAGGAGCTTCTTCCGGGTCTCCCACGCAGGTGCAGGGTCCCAAGGCTTTGGGCCGTCCTCCACTGCTTTCCCAGGCCACAGGCAGGGAGCTGGATGGGAAGTGGAGCAGATAGGACTTAAACCAGTGCCCACATGGGATGCTGGTGCCACAAGTGGAAAATTAACTTTTCGTGTCCCCATATTGGCTCCCTATAGCCAGTTTCCAGAGATTTCCAAGGTCATGCGAGGCACAGAGAAATATCTTCTGGGGCCCAGCACAGTAGCCTGGTGGCTAAAGTTCTTGCCTTGCAAACGCAGGGATCTCATATGGGCACCAGTTCTAATCCCGATGGCCCCACTTTCCAATTAGCTCTCTGCCATTGTGGCCACTTGGAGAGTAAATCAGTGGACGGAAGATCTTCCTCTCTGTCTCTGCTCCTCTCTCTACATGTCTGACTTTCCAAGATATGACAGCACATATTGTGCTGAGAGCTGATTATCAAAAGTGCCTCGAAAGCCCACATGTGTTCAGAATATCGAAAAATTCAGTTGCTGCTAAAATTAGGCCACCAGAAGTGTGTGTGTGTGTGTCTTTTAATTCATTAGAAAGGAAGTTTGGCTGTGGTACCAGTTAAAATTATTCATTTCTGACTCACCTACCCGCGCCTCCGGGGGCTGGCATTTGAAAGCCACAGACCCCAGAATGTGGATCATCCTGGGATCCAGGCTCATTTTTTTTTTAAGGTGTATTTACTTTTATTGGAAAAGTAGGTCAGATTTAGAGAGAGGAGAAACAGAAAGATCTCCCATCCGCTGGTTCACTCCCCAAGTGGCCGCAACAGCCAGAGCTGAGCTAATCCAAAGCCAGGAGCCAGGAGCCTCTTCCGGGTCTCCCCCGCGGGTGCAGGGTCCCAAGGCTTTGGGCCGTCCTCCACTGCTTTCCCAGGCCACAGGCAGGGAGCTGGGTGGGAAGTGGGGCAACGGGGACATAAACCAGCGCCCACATGGGATGGATCCCAGCACATGTAAAGCGAGAACTTTAGCCACTAGGCTACTGCAGCAAGCCCAGCAGGGGAAGTTTTGAAATTGTTCAAAGCTGCAGTGTGGGTCAGCATCGTAGTGTAGCCGTAAGGCTGCCATCTGCCACCTTGGTATCCCATACTGGCACCAGTTCAAGTCCTAGCTGTTCCACTTCTGATCCAGCTCCATGCTAGTGCACCTGGGAAAACAGCAGAGGATGGACCTAGTGCTTGGGGCTCCTGCCGACCATGTGGGGGACCTGGATGGAGCTGCAACCTGGCCCTCAGCCCCATCTGCTGTAGTCATTTGGGGAATGAATTAGTGGATGGGAAAGTTTTTTTTCTTTGTTCTTTCAAACTCTCTGTGCCTTTCTCTTAAATTGTGCCTTTCAAATACATAAATACATCTTTTTGAAAAAAGCACAGTGCAATAGCCTAGTGGTTAAATCCTCGCCTTGCATCACTGGGAATCCCATATGGGCGCCGATTCTAATCCCGGCTGCTCCACTTCCCACCCAGCTCCCTGCCTGTGGCCTGGGAAAGCAGTAGAGGACGGCCCACAGCCTCGGGACCCTGCACCCGCGTGGAAGACCCGGAAGAGCCTCCTGGTTCCTGATTGGCTCAACTCCGGCTGTTGCGGCCACTTGGGGAGTGAACCAGTAGATGGGAGGTCTTTCTCTCTTTCTCCTCTTCCTCTTTATCAATCTTTCATTCCAAGAAAAAGGAATAAATCTTTAAAAAAAGAAAAAAAACCACCTGAAGTGGGCTCTGGCGTGGGGAGACCTTGACCCCTCTCTCCCCTCCCTGCTTCAGTCCCCAGGGTCTTGCATGCCAATCAGCTACAGAGTGTGGGTGGCTGGCGAGCAGGAGCCCTTTGCTGAAGGCGTGTCCTGCTGCAGTATCCGCGTGCCCGCCGGTGCCCACTGGGCCGCGGTGTCCGCCACCAACGGCACCCGCTGGGAACTGCCCACCAATCTCTCCTTGGTCTGTCTGGGTAAGAGACTTGGCCGCTGGAGGGGGAGGAATGCGTGGTAGGTGGGACATCCTTTCAGGGGGTGGGGCGGCTGAGATGCCAGCTGTGTCGCCCACCCCTGGCCCTGCAGACTCCGCCCCCCGCAGCGTGGTGGTCCACAGCGGCTCAGCAAGCGGTCAGCTGCGAGTGAGCTGGTGGCCGGGATCCACGGAGCCCGAGGAGTACGTGGTGGACTGGGCTGGGGATACAGAACCCCCGGAGGAGGCTCTGACCTGGCTGCGGCTTCCCGCTGGGCGGCACAGTGCCATGTTGGCAGGTGAGGGCCGCTGTGGTCTTCCATTCTGTTTCTGTATTTGAAAGGTAGAGTTAGGGGGAGGGACAGAGAGAAAGCTTTTCCATCTATTGGTTCAGTCTCCCAGAGCTGAGTCAGGTGGAAGCCAGGATCCAGGAGTTTTCTTGTCTGCTACACGCATACAGGGTTCCAGGCACTCGGGCCATCCTCCACTTCTTTCTCAGTTTCATTACCAGGGAAGTGGAGCAGCCAGGACTTGAACTGGGCACCTCTGACATAAATGAGATGGGTTGATGGAAGGCAGGGAACAGACCTAACCCCTTCACTTCCTTTTCTCCACCCAGGGAATTTCACAAAAGGGGTCCCGTACCGCGTGACAGTGACCGGGGTCTGGCCTTGGGGTCTAGCCCCGGCCCTCCCAGCCTGGGGCTTCATCGAGGAGCTTGGTAAGATTGGGGGTGGGGTAGGGTCCTGGCACTTCCGGCCAGACCCCTAGCCACTCCACTCACTGACTCCCCTCCACCCTCAGCACCCGTAATGGGGCCAACGCTTTGGCGACTCCAGGATGACTCTCCCGGGACCCCCTCCGTGGCCTGGGCCCAAGTTCCCAGGCGCCAGCTCCGAGGTCATCTCACCCACTACACTGTGTGTTCCCGGAGCGGGGCAGGGCCAGCTTCCTGCATGAACGGTGAGTCTCCCACCCGCCCTTCCAAGGACCACCCCCTCCAAGGACAGCCTCCTCTGACAGCCCCCTTCCAAGCCTCTCCCCCGGGGGGCGTGACACCATCAGCTCCCAGCTCCCGGGAAAAGGCCAGCAAAGGCGGCTTTGATTCACACAGGAGGTTGCCTGCCACCTTCCCTTAAAGAGACTTTATGGGACACTGTGGTGTGACTCCCTGTGGGGCATGCTAAACCTGGGATTGAGCGAAGCAGGGGCAGTGACATGGAACACAGACTTCCACGTGGTTCATTTATTTTACTTGGAAGTCAGAATTACAGAGAAGGAGAGACGGAGAAGATCTTCCGTCCACTGATTCATTTCCCAAGTGGCTGCAGTGGCCAGAGCTGAGCTGATCCAAAGCCAGGAGCCAGGAGTTTCCTCCAGGTCTGGGTGCAGGGTCCCAAGGCTTTGGGCCGTCCTCGACTGCCTTCCCAGTCCACAAGTAGGGAGCTGGATGGGAGGCGGAGCAGCTGGGATATGAACCGGCGTTCATATGGGATCCCTGTGCTTGCATGGTGGAGGATTAACCCACTGAGCCATTGTGCCAGGCCTGACTTTTCATTTGAAAGGCACAGCTAGAGAGGCACCAAGGTGAGAGAGATCTTCCCAAGGAGCCAGGAGCTGAACAAGAATGGGGGCTGTGGGGGGGTGTAGTTTGGTTGCTTTTAAGTGGTAAGACCCAAGGAGGCTTCCTGGAGGAGGCAACAACTACCTCCTACCCCAACCCCTGCTTGTCTACTGCAGTGAGCGGCACTACTCAGAATGTCAAGCTGCCCCACCTGCAGAGGGGACCGTGCGAGCTGTGGGTGACGGCGTCCACCGTCGCGGGACAGGGGCCTCCCGGTCCCAGCCTCTGGCTTTATCTGCCAGGTGGGGAGCAGGGGGCTGGAGGAAGGGAGGGAGGTGGGCGACGTGTGGGTGTTCCTCCCTGAGGCTACAAGGAGTAGAAAGAAATGAGGGGTGGGCAGAAGGTGATTGCCGGAGACGGGGGACAGTTGTGTGTCCCTGGTAGTGGGTCACATGTCCCAGACAAGCCCCGCCCTCTGCCCCCACAGCTTCCGAAGCCACGCCCCTCCACACACCCCGCCCACCTCGGTTTCTCTCCCACTCCAAGTCCCAGGCATCCATAGCCATGCTCTCTCCTTCCCGCCCCTGCAGATAACAGCTTCAACTGGGCCATCCTGCCCGGTGTCCTGTCCCTATGGGGGCTGCTGCTCCTGGCCTGTGGCCTCACGCTGACCTTGTCTGGAAGGTGAGGTTACAGGAAGGTGTGGGTCTGCCCGGCTATGGGGTGGGGTGGGGCTGAGCGTCCAGCAGGAGGGATGGCAGGGATGTGCCTCGGCCCTGCTCCCTGCCAGCCACCCTGCCTCCATCCTGACTGCCTGAAACCGCTTGCTAGGTGTCCCCACCTGCACCACAAGGTGCTGCCTCGCTGGGTCTGGGAGAATGTTCCGGACCCTGCCAACAGTCAGTGTGGCCAGCCCCACATGGAGGTGAGCAGGAGGACTGGCTCGGCTTGGGGGGGGCGGGCAGGGAAGGTGGGGTGGGGTTCCCCAGCCATCACCTCTCCTCTTCCCAGGAGGTGCCTCAGGTGCAGTCACCCGGGGACCTGCCCGTCCTGGAAGTGGAGGAGATCCCAACCCCAGAGCCTACGATTGTGGCACCACCCCAGCTGCCAGCCACGCAGGACTGTGGATATGAGAAGCACTTCTTACCCACCCCCGAGGAGCTGGGCCTGCTGAACACCCCAAGGTCCTAGATTTCCTGGGACGATGTGTTGGGGGTTGAACCTGTCCCCAGGCTGCTGCAGAAATGTGACGAAGTGAAGACACCCAGCCCCGGGGGTGCTGGGTTGGAAGGGTCCCCACCGAGAAGGGACCAGACCTGGGGAGGAAACGCGTTGGCACAAGGGGCCAGAAGAATGAGTTGGAGTCAGGAGTGGCCCTGTGTGCCTCCCACGCCCACGGTCAGTGCGAGAGAGCTACGGCTGGACACAGAGCCCGCCTCCCTTGCAGCTAAGCAAGCTGCAGCCTGGACAGAGTTCCAGAAATGGTACCTGTCAACCTTGGGCCTGAATGGGTCTTAACAGCCTGGGTTTGGGGGTTCTCTGCTCTTACCTGGGAGCTGGGTACCTGTGACCTGGTGCTGGCCGAAGCTAAAGGAAAAGAAATGGAACCTGGATCCCCGTCCTCCTGGGTCAGAGACTGGATCTCCGGATGACTGCCCAGGTCGGAACCCGGGTTGCTGAGTGACTGCCCAGGTTGGAGCCTGGGTTCCCACCTGACTGCCTGGGTCCCCGAGTGACCGCCTGGGTCTCCGAGTGACCGCCTGGTTTGGGGACAGGGACGCCAAGTGACTTCCTGAGTCAAAGTCAAAGAAATAAACGTTTCTATTTTTGTAGCTACTGTCACCGAGGTCTCCGTGTTGTAACAGCTGTTTCTACATCTTTCTGATTCACCATCTGTTCATTCCAGAAGCATCGGCCCCTCCAGCTCCCACCAGGAAGGGCTGAGGGGGGTTCCCAGACCCATAAGACGCACACATTCAAGTTCTGCCTCAGTGCTTTCAGGTTTTTCAAGTATGAAGGTTTTGTCACGGAAGGGAGCCAGGGAGCCACAGGCAGTGCATGAGGGAGCTGGGAGGCCAGGCGTGGGCCGACGTGCGGGCCAGTCCCGCGCTGCCCTGGCTGGGCCCGGGACCCTCTGCTGGGTGCCAAGAGGCCGAGGTAGCTGAGAGAGGAGCTGGCATGGGGCGGGGGACGCGGGCTCACATCACTGCACAACACTGGCACGTCTTCTGTTTCGGGCCGGCCGCCCCTTGGCCCTCGCGGGGGGCAGGTGGCTCTGGCTGCCTGGCAGGTGCGTAGGTGGGCACTGGGTGGGCCCCAGGCCTTTCCTGCTGCAGCAATGGCTGGCGCTCCGAGGGCTGCTCTGGGGCTGCCTGGGCAAGGCGGCCAGTCTGCCTTGCCGCCTGCTCCTCCTGGGGCTGCAGCTGCTCCACCTGCTCCTCCTGGGGCTGCAGCTGCTCCACCTGCTCCTCCTGGGGCTGCAGCTGCTCCACCTGCTCCTCCTGGGGTTGCACCTGCTCCTCTTGCTTCTCCTGCTCCTCCTGGGGCTGCAGCTGCTCCACCTGCTCCTCCTGGGGCTGCAGCTGCTCCACCTGCTCCTCCTGGGGCTGCAGCTGCTCCACCTGCTCCTCCTGGGGCTCCACCTGCTCCTCCTGGGGCTCCACCTGCTCCTTTTGCTTCTCCTGCTCCTCCGGGGGCTGCACCTGCAGGGGCGGCTCAGCCTTGCTCACTTCCTCAGCCTGGGGCGGACTTCCTCCCCTGGAATCCTTCAGATCCGCTGCAGCCCCTTGCGGTGCTTCCTCCCCCAGCCCCTGCAGACCCTCCTCGCTTCCTTTCCCCTCCTCCGCCAGGGTCTCCTCCCCCAGACCGGCCCCCTCCCCTGCAGGCTCCTCCCTCGGTGGCCCCGCCCCTCTGCCTGTCTCCTCCCCCGGCGGCTCCGCCCCTCCCCTTGGCCCCTCCTCTCCTCCCTTATCCTCCCCTCCTGTCTCCTCCCCCAGTGGGCCCTCTCCTCCGGTTGTTCCCGCCCCCAGTTGCTCCGCCTCTTCATGTGACTCCGCCCCCTTTAGCTCCTCCTCTCTGCCTGGCTCCTCTCCCAGTGGCTCCGCCCTTCCACCCGGCTCCTCCTCCAGCTGCTCCGCCCCTCCTCCTAGTTCCTTCTCCAATGGCCCCGCTCCTACAATAGGCTCCTCCTCCAGCTGCCCCGCCCCCTCTATCGACCCCGCCTCCAATGGTTCCGCCCCTCCTCTCGGCCCCGCCCCGCCCCTCGGCTCCTCCTCCGAGGGCGTGGCCTCGGAGCCGCCCCACCCCGCCCTGCCGCCCCCCAGGGCTGGCTCCTCGGGGTGCAGGGGGGTCCCCGCCTCCCAGGCCTCCCCCGCCCCGCCGCCCCCCAGGGCTGGCTCCTCGGGGTGCAGGGGGGTCCCCGCCTCCCAGGCCTCCCCCGTGCCGCCCCCCAGGGCTGGCTCCTCGGGGTGCAGGGGGGTCCCCGCCTCCCAGGCCTCCCCCGTGCCGCCCCCCAGGGCTGGCTCCTCGGGGTGCAGGGGGGTCCCCTCGGGTCCAGCCCCCGCGCGCCTGCGCTCCTCCTCCCAGGCCTCCCCCGCCCCGCCGCCCCCCAGGGCTGGCTCCTCGGGGTGCAGGGGGGTCCCCTCGGGTCCAGCCCCCGCGCGCCTGCGCTCCTCCTCCCAGGCCTCCCCCGCCCCGCCGCCCCCGGGCCCCTCCAGCCCCTCCATCAGCAGCTCCTCCCAGTCCTCACTCAGCGTCACCCTGTCCACCCAGATGAAGGACCCGTCCTCTCCCACCGAGCCGCCCCGGGGGGCTCCTGCCTGGGGCGCCGCACCCGACCCCTCGCCCCCCACGCCCTCCCACACCACCTCCACAGCGCCCTGGTCCTGCCGCACCCAGGCCGGCGGCTCGGGGCTGCGGGGCTCCCTCCGCTCGGCCACGGCCTCCCGCACCACCTGCTCCACCTGCGCCTCCAGCTCGGCGCCTGTGGCCTCCGTGGCACTGTCCTCCGTGGCTCTCAGTCCCTCCCACACCACCCTCACCACCCCTGCCCTGGCCGGGCTGGGCTCTGTCTCCGGTGCAAGGCTGGCTGCCTGGCAGGGACCGTTGGCTTCTGGGACCTGCGTGGGCGCTGGTTGAACCTCAGTTGCCTCCTCCCTGGGCTCAGCCACGACGGCCTGTGGGGAGGCCAGAGGCTCCAGGGGTAAGGAGGCCCTCCTGTCCGCGGTCGCTTGGCCTGCGGAGGTCGTGGTGGGGGAGGCAGGGGAGAAGAGAGAGGAAAGATGAGATGGAGTGAGCAGGAACTGCCGGAACCCCAACCTCACTTGGGCTGCCACGTGCCTGGGGGCCAGGTCCCTGACACCCACCTGCCAGGCCTGTTTCCATCTCCATCGCTGGCTGGGAGAGAGGGCGCGGACCCTGTAGGGGCAGAAGGTGGGGTGGGAGGGGTGTGATTGGGCAAAGACATGCTCAGGGCCGGCCTGGTGCCCAGTAGCATGCCACCTGCCCCCCCCCCATAGACCTCCACAGCTCTCCTTGACCTGGAAGGCTAAATGCCCCCTCCCCCGCTGCTCCCTGTATACAGGAGGTGCCTAAGCAGTGCTGAGTTCTTGCAGCACAGCCCACTCTGCCAGCCACCAGGGTGACAGGGACACAAGGAGGAGCAGCAGTGTGTGGTGAAGGCACCCGTGGCTGCGTGGCCACACAGAGCATGAGCGAGTGAGGGGGAGGCAGAAGATGCATGGATGAAGGGGGTGGAAGCTGGGGCCCCTCCTTGAATGCTGAGTTGCATAACCGAAAGAGAGATCTTCCATCTGCTGGTTCACTCCCAAAATGACCACTTCAGCCAGGGCAGGGCTGGTCCAAAGCCAGGAGCCAGGAGCTCCATCCGGCTCTCCCACATGGGGCGGCAGGGGGTGGGGGAGGGAGGGCAGGGGTCCAGAACTGGCACCACCACTTACTGCCTCCCACAATGGGCATGAGCCCCAGGGCAGCAAGGGGCACACAGACACCTGCCCCTGCCCTCCCCTGCCCGCCTCCCTCAGAGAAGGTGTGTTGGAGAAGGTGGCATGAAACCCACCCTGGTGCGAAGGGCCAGCGAGTGCCAAGGGGCTGATCCTATCCATGCCAAAGCCTTAACAGGCTGTTTCTTCCTGGATGCAGCTGACATGCAGGGCCCTGCCTCCAGGAAGTCTTCCTTGAATGCCTCCATTTCAGACACCTTTGCTGTGTGCTCCCGCCCCCCACCGCCGACACACACTGCCATGCCCTCATGGACCCTCGAAAGACACCCAACTTCTCCTCCAAAGAGTGAGCTTGCTCATTTTGAGCTAAGATCACCCAGCATGCCTCAGAACCCCAACAGGGGCCGCCCACACGACACAGGTGTCTATCCCTGCCCCCCACATCTCCAACAGGCTCTTGGAACTAAGGCGAGACACCAGGGACAGCAGGTGAAGCTGCCGCCTGTAGTGCTGGCATTCCACATGCACGCAGGTTCGAGTCCTGGTGACTCCGCTTCCTATCCTGTTCCCCGCCAGAGTGCCTGAGGAAGCAGCATTGGAAGGCCCGGGTGTTTGGGCCCCTGCACCCACGTGGGAGACCCAGCTGGGGTTTCGGGCTTTTGGCTTCTGCCTGCCTGTTGTGGCCATTTGGGGAATGAATGAATAGCTGAAGATCTCTCTCTCCACGTAACTCTGCCATTTAAATCAACCAGTCAACCCATCGTTAAAACCACACAAGTATAAGAACCAGTCCTTAGGGGTGTGTCTGCTCACAAGAGCACCTTGTGACCTTCAAGGTCAAATCACAGGGCCACCTGCCCATGTCTCGGCGCCCTTCCCACTGTGCCCATCACAGCAGCCCCACCCCACGGTGGTCTGTCCCCTAAGGGACTGCCTGAGTCCCCACTCTGCTGCCCATTTCAGCTTCCTGTGTGCACCCTGGGAGGGGGCAGGGGACGGCTCCGGCCCTGGGGTCCCTGCCACCCACGTGGGAGTCTGGATGGAGCCCCCAGCTCCCACCAGCTTGCGCCTGGTCCAGCCCCAGTCATTACGGCTATCAGAGAGAAGACTGGCGAATAGAGAAGGTCTTCCTCTTTCTCTCAGTCTCTTTCATTCTGCATTTCAAATCAAGTCTCAAAAAAAGGCCACAGATGAATTCTCACACAGATCTAGCAGCTGAGCCAAGGTCCCTAACATCACAGTGCCGCTGCCCCCCCGCCACACCCCCTCACCTGCCGGCGCCAGGTGGGTCTCCCCCAGGGCTTGTGCTGGGCACCTGTAGAAGCACTCTGTAACAGCTGCAGCTGCGAATGGAGCCTGGCAGAGAGAACGGGGCTGGCTGGGAACCCTGAGCTTCCCCTGCCCGGCTGCCCCGCTCCCACCCCGAGGGCTGGGGCAGGGTCCCACTCACGTGAACAAGCTGTCTTCCAGCGTCTGGATGCGAGCCTGAGCCTGACCCTCTGGCGACTGGGGGTCTTGGGGGGCGGGGTCCTGGGTGGCCGTGCCATCCATGAGCCAGCGTTCACGGACAGACTTCCTCTGGACACGGGAGAGGGGACCAGGCTGGGCATGCGGACTCTCCCTCCTTCACTGCTCCCCCACCCCGTGCTGGAGACCCCATGGCTAGGGGCAGACTCTTTAATGCACCCATTTGCACCCAATCCCCCCCACACCCCAGATGGGGGTCCACGTCATTGTCCCCCAAGTGGGACACACCCCAACATGAGCAGTCCACAGCCCCCACCCATTCCCAGCAGGCCGGGGCAGGCACCCTCTGTCCCCCACCCCCTACCCCTGGGGACAGCCCTGCCTTGGCCATCCTTCAGGTGGGGGTGCGTGGACACTCCCAAAGTGACATCACTGTGTCTCCGCTGCCTTGCCTTAAAGCAGGACCCAGGCTCCCCGGGCACCTCCCCAGGGCGAAGACCAACACTTGTCCTGTCCCATCCTGTTCTCAAGGTGGTTCCAACGCAAGAGCCTCACCACCACCACCACCACCCCAGCCCTCCAAACCCTACCCTAGCCTGATCAGACCTCCCAGTTGGCCAAAACCGCACCCCACAACATGCCGGAGACCAACGCCTCCAGGTGCCAGCCCCTGCCCCACGCAGAAGAACAAAGCGTGTCGTCCCTACCTTGCCTCATCCCGGGCAGCTGCTTGCACAGACCCAAGCCGTCTCCCTCCCCGCTCCACCCGACCCCAGGTCAGCTAGCCCAAGGCCAAGGCCGCCGCGCCCCCAACCTTGAGCCGCTCCACGCGGAGTCTCTCCTCGTCCAGCTCCCGGCGCGCTGTGCTGATCTGCTCCTGCAGGCGTCGCTTCTCCTGCGCACACAGACGGCGGCGCCGAGCTGGACCGGGAGCCCCGGGCCGAGCGGGGCGGGGCCGGGCCTCCCCTCCCCGCCGCACCCGCCGCCGCGGGGGGCTCCCCGGGGACGGGGGCGCTGCGGAGGCGCTGACTCAGCAGCGCGCCCAGGGTTTGGGGGGCAGGGCGTGGCGGGGGCGGGGCCGGGATGCTGCGGAGGCCTCGCCTGCGCCCTGGAGAGGAGAGAGAGGTCTGGGGGTCTGGGGGTCGGGGGTGGGTGGGCGGGCCGGGAGCTGTGCTGCAGAGACGCGGTGGTCGAGCTGGAGGTGCTAGCGAGACGGAGAGACGGGGATCTGAGATGTGGGGGTACAACCGTGGGGATCCAAAAAAAAAAAAAAAAAAAACCGCGGGGTGTGCAGAGATGGGAGGGGCCGCGATGAGGTCAGAGAGGGGGTTGCGGAGGTGTGGATGCGTCGAGATGGGGTGCAAGAGCGGGATGCTGCAGAAATTGGGGCGCACAGCTGGGTTCAGAGAAAGGGGGTGCAGAGATGAGGTGTGGGAAAATTGGGGTGCACAGGTAGAGGCAGAAGATGGCATACAGGTAGGGTGGCAGTGGAGAATTGCACAAGTGGTTAGAAAGATGGGGTGCAAGTGGAAGTGCGGAAAGATGGGGTGTGGAAAACTGGAGTGCACAGGTGGAACCTATCCTGGGCCCCAGGATCAGGGGTCAGAATGGGAGAGACAAGGTTCAGGGAGAAAGAGTCCCAGAGGCTCAGGTCCCCAGGGAAAGCTGACCCCCCCAAAGGGTGGGGTCCACAAGAGGGAGAATGGGGGTGTTTGCAAAAGTCCGGGGTTGGGAACGGGGACTCTGGGTGACGCCTGTTCCACCAGGAGGGCAAGAAGAGCAGACCTTGCTATTCTGTGGGTACCAGTGAACCGGGAGAGGAATTTAGGGGTGCAGGGTGGAGGGCGCGCCTCGAGCAGGACCTGCAGCAGAGGGCGCGGTTCCCCGCTTCGCAGAGCTGGGTCTGAGTCCAGGGCTGGGGCGGCGGGGGGTAGTTGGAGACAGGGGTAGCTGCCAGTTTGGGGGTTCCCGGGGGGCAGGGCCGAGAGCCCCCCGAGGGTTGTGGGGTGTCACTTACGGCGATGACTTCCAGCCGTTGCCGGTAGAGGGAGCTCTCAGCCATGGGTCTGTTGGGGCGGGGTGGGGGTGGGAGAGGGGCTGAGGAAGGGTCTTTGGGGCTCCCTTTCCTCCTCCGGCTACCTCGGGAGAGCGCCCCTATCTTGTCCAACCAGGCAAAGCCCAGGTCCTGCCTCTGTCTCCCATGGGTGCTGAAGCAACAGCCCTGCCCACCCCACCCCACCCCACCCCACCTCCTCCCGCAGGTCTGTCGGCCATTGCTGTGTGTCTCTAGGTAATTCCATACCTTGTCTGGCCCCGGCGGCCCTGAGGAGGAAGAAGGGGGCCGCCAAACCCTACCATTGCCATGGCAACCCCAGTCCACCTTCTGTACTGGTCAACACAGCTCTCCCTAGGGGACAAGGGTCATCGGGTGTCTCTGCTGAGAGCCAGGGAACTGCAAGCTGGAGTAAGCAGGATCTTAAACATGTCACCCTGTCTCCCCTCCTCCTTCTCCAGCATTCCGATTTTCCGTCCCCCACCCATGCCTCGTGGGCTGGACGCTTTTCTGGCTGCCCCTGTAAGGTGTCCAGCCAGGCTGTTCCCTACCCGCCAGCCACGCGTGCCCGTGGTGTTTCACCTGCTCCCCCTCCCACACACTGCCCGCTGGGCCCCTGCTCCTGCTGGGTGAGCTTTCTCCGTGCCCCTCTGAGGCCTGGCCGCAGCACGGATGCGTAATGCACTTGCTATCTATAGGGTTCTAAGTGCCTCGTGGGGCTTCCGCTGGCTGCCCGCAGCCGCCGCGGCAACCCTGCCTCCCCCCTTCCTAACCAACCAACCGACACCATGTCCCTGCCCCGGAATGGACTCTGCCGGGACACGCAGGACAAAAATCTGCCAGCGCCTCGCGGTCAACCAGCTGCTCTTTCCAATGGGGGGGATTCCTGTCCCCATCGGACAGGCAGGGGAATAGGTGATAACAACAAAACACACACACACACAAAAGAAACAACCCGTCTGCCCCAGGTTGCCAGGTCGTGGACTCAAATTCCAACCTGATTCTTCAAGACCCCTCAGACCCTGCACCCCGGGAAATGGGGTGGGGTGCGGGCAGCCAGGGTGCCCAGGGTGCAGAGGCCAGCTCTGGGAGTCTGGTTGGGGCTGGGACCAAAGCCATAGCTTACGGAATGTCCCTGACCATAGATTTTGCGCCCTGGGGACACGCTGAGGTTCCCTCACTGCCCCCCCAACCCTGGGCTGTACCCCCCCCAGATGTAATCCTTCTCAGCCTCTTGCTTGGGGGCGGGCGCTGGGGTGGGGATTGGGTTCCCGTTGCTAGGCAACCATCTTTGTCCTTGGTGAATAATGCAAGGGGGGGGACCCAGAAAGGTGAGGGTATGGAATTGGGGTCCCTGGTATATGTGGAGGCGGAGGGCACTCTCAAGAGACCTCTGCAACCTGCCTCATCCCGTTAGCTTCACAGCAAACATCCTTGTATGTGCCGTGGGCAAGAGCCGATGGGCACACATGCACCCCGGGGCCAATATGAACTCCCGGACCCGGCCCGGCCGTCCTTAGCAGCTGCCTGTGGCTGGGTCACCAGCCAGGTCACCATCTTTCGCCCCTTGGAGGTTGTGGGCCAACCTCAGGCATGGCTCCTGTCCCCAACCCCGGGCCCTAAAGGGGGTTGGCGGAGTTCAGAGGAGCAGACGGACAAGAGGGACCCCCCCAACATTTGCCCCAGCCCCCACCTCCATCTCCTAGTAGCCCCACCCCCACTTCTCCCTCCTGCTGCCCCTCCCGGATGGACTTTGGGCGTCCAGCTACTGGCCAGTGGAAAATGCTCAAAGAAGAAGAAAAAGGGGGCGGGGGCAGGCTAAGGCTCCCACGGGGCAAGCAACAATGTGGAGGATCCTCTGGGGCTGGCTGGCCACCCCTCCATTTCCCTGCCACTCAGGGCAAACCAGCTGGAGCTCTTGGCTTCCTGGGCGAAGCCACAAGCCCCCCTCCTAGGCCCTGCTCCCACTGCCCAGCCTTCACCCCCACCTGCTGCCCAGGAACCCCAGGCACTTACACGCACATGGCTGGGGACCACAGCTGGCTCTGCAGCGTCATCTCTGCAGGTAGACCCACCTTGGGGTCCGCCAAGTTCAATTCCCTTTACCTGCCGGGCTGAAGTAGCACCTGCAGCAGTGGCCTCACCGACAGGGGTGGGGGTACCGAGGGTAGGCACTGGGAGAGCTGGTCTGGCTGGTTTGATTTGGGCCACTGGGAGAAGGAGGCGGTGGTGGAGGCAGGCAGTGGACAGGGTGGTGGTGGCCAGGGGGGCTGGGGGCTGGCTGGCAGTTTCTGGGGAGGCACTATCAGCTATCCTGATAAATTATTTACCAACCTCTGGCCTCTTTGCCGCACTCGGCGTTAACAGGAGCAGGAACACGCCAGCCAGTGTGTGGTGCTGGGGTGTGTGCGCCATGAGTGGTCACTCAGACCCCTCGGGGCCCTGCAGGGTCACCTGCTTGTGGACACTCCGACAGGCTGGCTGCCCTCTCTCTTCAGCCTCTCTTAGGGGACTGAGGGACAACTGAGCCCAGAAAGCCAGGATTGTGGGAACCAGGAGGCGCAGGCCCCAGGGGATGGCCTGGTCCTGGGGGTCACTTCCCCATCTGTGGAATGGGAGAGTCTGATCAAAGGCCCTTGGGGGTCCCAGACCCTCCTTAGATGGTGTAACAGTTACTGGGAGGTTCTAGAATAGATTAGACAACTTCTCTGGTTTTTTATTGTGGCCTGGTCTGTTCAGTCTCGTTCACTTCTTAAAAGATTTATTTATTTTTATTGGAAAGGCAGCCAAAATTTACCGAGACAGAAAGATCTTGCACCTGCTGGTTTAGTCTACAGATACATGCAATGACAGCCAGAGCTGAGCCGATCTGAAGCCAGGAGCCAGGAGCTCCTCCTGGTCTCCGACACTGGTGCAGGGTCCGAAGGCTGTGGGCCGTCCTCCACTGCTTTCCCAGGCCACAGGCAGGGAGCTGGATGGGAAATAGAGCAGTCAGAATAGGAACTGGTGCCCATATGGGATCCTGGTGCATGCAAGATGTGGACTTTAGCCGTTAGGCTGCTGTATTGGGCCCAGGAGAGCCGCTGATGCTTGCATGCCCATATTCCTTACCAGAGCACAGGTTCTAGTTCCGACTGCCTCCCATTCCATCCAGCTCCCTGCCTGTGGTCTGGGAAAACAGTGGAGGACGGCCCAAAGCCTTGGGACCCTGCACCCATGTGGGAGACCCGGAGGAGCTCCTGGCTCCTGGCTCCGGATCAGCTCAGCTCCGGCTGTTACAGTCACTTGGGGAGTGAATCATTGGATGGAGGATCTTCCTCTCTGTCTCTCCTCCTCTCTGTACATCTGATCTTGCAATTAAAAAAAACTTGTCTTTCCTCTCTATAAAGCTGCCTTTCCAATAAAAATAAGCAAAGCTTAAGAAAAACAAAAACAAAAAAAGCCAGAGAGACTGAGAGAAATGTGCTCCTCAGCGGTTTTCTCTGAAAGCACTCAACAGTCGGCTGGCCCGGGCTGAAGGCACGATGCAGGAACTCCATCCGGGTCTCCCCGATGGTTGACAGAAGCCCCAGAACCTGAGCTGGTGCCCCTGCTTGCTGGCCAGCGCCTTTACTGGGAGCTGGGGGCAGTGGCCAGCGCTGCAGCGTGGGATGCAGGGGCGCTCCCATCTCGTCACCACTGCCCCAGCATCTGCCCCTCGATTCTTGTATGTTACCAGCCTTCCCCCTCCCCTTTATTATTATGTTTTTGGTTTATTTTTATTTGAAAGGCAGATTTATAGAGCGAGGGAAAGACAGCCTTTCTGTCCGCTGTTTGTAACAGCCGGAGACAGCTGGGCAGGTTCAAAGCCAGGAGACAGGTGCTCGATGCATCATCGGCAGCGGAGACCCAAGGACTTGGGCCATCTTTAACATCTCGGGAGCATTAGCAGTGAGAGCCAGGTGGGAAATGGAGCAGCCGGGACTCGAACCCCGACAAGTCCATATGGGATGCTAGAAGCCTGAGTTGTAACTTCGCCACCTGGGCCTCAATGCTCAGGTTGTGGGCAGGAGAGAGACAGATTTCCGATGGGACCTACGGAGTCAGAGGGAGGAGGGTATGTCTTCCGGCTGGGATCCCAGAGAGGGGAGAGTTGAGAGGATGGAAGAAGGCAGAGCATTTGTCACGGGGGACCATGGGGCAGGGTGGCCACACAACTGGGTTGTCGGGGGGCTTCTGAGCCCCACAGCCCCTCTCCCCCAGTCTATCTCAGTCACTGTACTTCTGTGTTATCCCGGTGGCACCCAGCCAGCAGTCAGGATGGGTCCCTGGAGGTGGCCGTCCTGCCCTGGAACGTCAGGCGAGGCCCTGGTCACAGGGAGCCGCTCCCTTGGTGCAAGCAAGCCTGGACTCCTTCTGTCCCCAGCTCTGGGCCTCCCAGGCCGCCTGGGCCCAAGGTGACCCGCCTGGTAACCGTAACCACCCACCCAGCTGCGCGCCTCCGGGCTGCCTACGCTCGGTCGCCCCGGCAGGCTCGTGGGAGTCGTGGGGGCAGCATGGAGGCGGCTCCTGTCGCCCGGGTCCTGGAGGGGTTGTCGCTGACCGCCAGGTGGCAGCTGGGCCCCGGGGCGGTGGGTGGAGAGGGTCCCTGCTGAAGTTCTTGTTGGGTGGGCGCGGTCGTTTCTTGGCCAGTGCTGGGGGACACAGTTCTGCCTAAAAGGCTGGCCAGGCCACTGGGAGGATACGGCTCGCAGCGCGGGGGGGCCCCCATCCGTGTCCCCTCACCCTCAGCTAGCGGGCCCTCTTCCAGGAAGTCCTGCGGCCTGAGGCGACCTGGGGGACCCGCCAATCACCCCCGCCCCGAAGGCGTGGCCAGGGCGTGGCCAGCATCTGTGGGCAGGTGGAGGGCGAGGGGCGGTGCCCAGCCCTGGCCACTCCACCTCCATGGAGGAGGGGTGGGCATTCTCAGGGGCCAGAGGCGGGTCAAAGAAGCGGCCGGTGCGGGCGACGCCTTGGAACCGTGGGCGGCGGCGGCAGCCACAGGTGCGGCGCCCTAGCTCGGGGCACCCCTTTTCTCACACACACATATACCCGTGCCCGCCCGCCCCCCCGGCGCTGGCCGCGGAGGGTTTCTTCTAAGCTGTTCTTGACCCTGGACATCGAGGCCTCCGGGCCGGAGAGCGGAGCCCTGGGGTCGTCAGAAGCGCAGGGCCACGAGCCCCCCGGGCTGGACAACGAAGTTTCCTGGGAGCCTGCACTACAGCAGGACAGCGAGGTCCCCAGGTTGGATTGCGAGGTCCTCTCCGCAGAACAGGGCGCCGTGGAGACCCCAGAACCAGAGGGCGAAGGCCTGCGGCCATCAGCGGAGCCGGACGCCGAGTGTCCGGCGCCGGGTGCACCTGCGGCCTTGGACAGTCCTGGGCTACCCGAGGAGCCGGGTGCAGAGTTCGCGAGGCAGTGTCCACCTCTGGCCCCCGACTCGTGCTCCCCTGGGCCTGGGCTGGCAGCCCCCCAGGTGCTTGCGGAGGCTAACCCCCGGTGTCCCGGGCAACTGCTCATGGAGACCCCCATCGAGCGCGAAATCCGCAGGAGCTGTGAACGCGAGGAAAGCCTGCGCCGCAGCCGGGGCCTGAGCTCGAACCGCGCCGGCCAGGAACTGGTGGAGCTGCGCGTGCGGCCAGTGCTCAGCTTGCCTGGCCCAGGCCCCACGATCCCGCGTGCCCTGGAGCGCGCGCGGGCCGGCGCGCAGATGCAGCGCGACATCGAGCGCGAGGCTCATCGGCAGGCGGCGCTGGCGCGTCCCGCCACCCCAGAACCGTGCGCCCCACTACCCCCTCCGCCGCCGCCGCCTCCGCTGGGCCAGCTCAAGCGCTTCTTCGAAGGGGTGGCTGGCGGTACCCCGGCTGCGGAGCCCGGAGGCCAGCCGCGATCGGCTGTGCAGGGCCGGGCGCCCGTGCTGGCCCGCGCTCCGCCGCCGATGGCGCCGTCGCTGCTGGAGCTGGAGGTGCGCGAGGTGCACGCGCGCGAGCAGGAACTGCAGCGCCAGCGGCGCAGCATCTATGGCACCGCCGACTTCCAGGAGCCCTCGCCCAGCCTCACCGGTAAGCCGGGGGACTCCGGCCTTGGGCACCGACTGCCTGACTCCAGCGAGGCTTCCTCTTGCCTCCTCCGTCTTTTCCTTTGGGGGGGGGGGAGAGGAGGCGGTCCATTGGTCAGGCTCCCCTCCTCCTCTCAACTCTGAGTCTCTTGCCCACTAACTTCCTGCCTGGGACCTCGGGCTTCCAGATTGGCACCACGGAAGGGATGGGGGATGCTAGCCCTGGCGGGGTTCAGCCCCCTCCCCGTAACTGCTCTGTGCACTTTGATTTGCCTGTCCACTGCGGGTTCCCAAGGCTGGGCGGAGGCGTCCGCGGGGTGGAGGTGGTGAACACCTGTGTGTGTTCTAGGGGCGCGGCCGGCTTCTTTTCGTTCCGGCCGCCTCTAGCTGGTGGGGGTAGAGAGTTGGGGCTGGGCCTCGCTAAGCGACCCTTCCCGCCCCGCAGCGAGCAGGGGCGACGGCAAGTTGGCGGTGATCTGGCCACCCCGAAGAAAGGCCTCGGAGAATGGCTTGGAGCAGGTAAGCATCCCCTTTTCCAGTCCTTCCCTCTTCCCCTACCATGTACCCGCCTCACCGCAGCACCAGGAAACCAGGTGCGCATCGCGGCCAGGTGCGCATCGCGGCGGCCACCTCTCTCCTCCCCACTCAAAAAAAACCACTGCACTGCCTGCCAGGACTGAAACGTTACACGGGGCTGGGGGCCTGGAAGTGGGGACAGAGGGCCAGAGAAGCGACAGAGGCAGCGGTGGTGTGGTCCTGGGACCTACACCTCCACTTCACTGAGCATCCAGCAGCCGCCTGCTCTGTCCACCCCCACCCCTGCCTCCAGGAAGAGCGCAAACCCTGAGGCTTAACCCTCCGCCGGAAGCAACAGACGCGTTGCAGGACAGGACCTGGGCAGCGTCCAGAGGGCTCCAGTCCTGTGTGCCCGTGTAGGAAAGAAGAACTTCACCAGAGTTCTTGATGTCCACTCCAGGACAAAGAGGCCAGCAGCCCTGACGCACCACCGTGGGAACTGCCCCAGCCATTCCAGCCCCTCCTGGGGGGCGCAAACTTAACCACTTGCTGTCTACATACACCCAATGCAGCTGGCCAGGGGTCACTGCCTTGGCCCCCTGCCTGTGTCCCACCCCCCCATAAAGCCCCTCCTCTCTGGGAAGGCGCAGCCTGTGTGGTTTTTTTTTTGGGGGGGGTGAGGGGTTCTCTGCAGGTGGTTGTGCTGGGGGTAGGGGAGTGCGCGCGCACGGCGGGATGGGGAAAGGCCAGTGCCCGGGGCGGCAGGAGGCGCCCGCCCGGCGGAATGTGGAATGCGCCCTTATCGTCGGCCCGCCCGCCAGGCCCTGCAGGTCCTCCAGCCTCCTGGCGCTGCGGGCGGGCGGGCGGGCGCAGAGTTCTTCCCTGGTGACTCGCTCTACTGGACTGCAAGTCCACTGCGCGTCCACTGACGCCAGGGGCCCAGCAGGAAAAGCTGGGCGCTGCATCCAGGTCACCAGGGCACAGACACACCGGTTGCCCACACACACACCCCAGCTGCCCCACGCCCTGCTGATGTGCCTGGAAAGTCACAGAACATGGCACCCCAAGTGCTGGGGACCCTACAGCACCCTGGTCCAAGCCCGCTGTGGGGAGAATGAACTTGTGGATGGGAGATCCAAAACCAGGAGACATGGCGACGCGCCCAAGGGGTCCAGCTCGCCCCGCAGCTTCCGCAGTCCCCGCCCCAAGCCAAAGTAGGATGCTGCTTAGGAACTTTAACCTGGGGATCCCCCCCGACCCCCTAAGGAGCACCACCTGTCTGCGCCCCAGCCCCCCGCCCCGAAACTCCAAACCAGGAAGTCAAGCCTGGGCTCCGTCGGCAACGGGTCGCTCATCCTGGAGCATGTTGGGAAATGTAGTCTCCTGGTGAGCACCACGCACTTCCGGGTCACGGCCGGGAAAGGGCGTGGATGGGGCCCCAGCCTCTTCCTCTCTAGCGCGCGTCGGATTTCCCCGCGACCCTAAAAGCGGGGCTTGCTGGGTTCCGGTTGTCGACAAGACGGCCGCGACACTTCCTTTTTTTTTTTCTGAATATATTTTTTAAATGCCTCTCACAAGCGCCTCGACGCATGCGCAGTGCCTTCCTCGGGCTCTCCGGCTGCGACCGCTTCCCCTCCGACTACATCTCCCAGAAGGCCGCGCGCTGAGGCGGTGGGCGTGGCCTCCCCCGTCCCCCCAGCACCCCCACACACACAGTCCGGGGAGTTGGCGGGTGTCTGGGCTGTTTCCCTCCCTAACCCCCCACAACAACCCCAATGGCAACCCCAAAGGCTCAAGGCCCCCGCGCGGCCTCCTGCGCCGGGAGGCCCGAGCGGGCTGGCCTGTCCCGTGAGGATCTGCACCAGGAGGTCGGTGGCCAGCGTGTGCGAAGGCTCCTGGAAGCCGATGGTCAGCAGCTGCTGGTAGTCTCCAAGTGGCTGTGGGCACAGGATCCTGGAGGGACAGGAAGAAGGGAAGACAGGCGGGGCACCCTCCACACACACACACACACACCCCAAGAGCGCTTCCTCAGCTTGGGGAGGTGGGGCGTGGCCAGCCTCCCTGGGGAGAGAACTTTTCCTAGTTGGTGTCCAACTTTACTTTTTGCCAGTCACCCTGCTGGCTGTGTGGGTCCTGGAGCAGGTGCCTCACCGCTCTCTGGGAGCCCAAAGAACGTCCAGACTCCAGAGGTGGGGTGTGCTGGGAGCAGGGGGCACCCTAATAGACCACCTGGGAGAAGGGAGGCCCCCTCCCTGCCAGCGCCCCAGTTTATCCTGCCCTACCAGGAGCACAGGTCGTCATCGGGCGGTCCCAGGTGCACCCAGCGGCCGATGGACCACAGCTTCTGGATCTGCGGGCACGAGCTGGCCAGACTTTTGCCGGACTCTTCCCACGTGTCTCGGTAGCAGAGAAAGTAGCTGGAAAGGCAGACAGGCAGGCAGGCAGGCGTGCCTCAGGGGTCGGTCCCACCCAGCCACTTGGGGGTGGGGGAACGGGCAGCGCTTGGTGGCATAGGTCTGCGTATGGCTGCTGGTTCGAATCCTGGGTACTCCACTTCCCATCCAGCTCTCTATTCTTGCTCGGAACCCCAGAAAGACAGCAGGCCATGGCTTGAGAGCTTGGGGGTCCTGCTGCCCACACAGGGGAGACCTGGAGGAATGGCTCCTGGCTGGCTCCTGGCTGCAGCCTGGCCTAGCCCCTGAGTGATGTGGCCATTTGGGGGGAAGCTTGCTCTGTCTCTCTCTCTCTGTAACCCTTTCGCACATATAAATCTTTAAAACACCCATATTTCAGAGTTGGGGCTAAAATTTGTGAGGCAGAGCTGTGACCTAATAGCAAGGCATTTTCTATCTGCTACGATACTAGAATTTTGATTTTGATGGGTGGGTGGCTTTTCTGAGTCTTGGGTGCCCTCACTGACCGCCGCCAGCCCTCTCTCGCACTCACTAATCCACATGGGGTTCTTGCCGCTGGCCCCTGGGCTGTAGAAAGGTCTCCAGGTTCCATCGCATCTTCTTGTAGAGGAATCTGGGGAAACGGCTGGCTGTGTAGGCGGCCGGGGCGCAGTACCGGAAGATGGCCACTTCATGAAAGGGGCTGATGGAGAAGCGCCCGCAGAAGAAGCAAGAAATACTGCAGGCCAGGAGAGGGGCAGAGAACGAGGGTGGGTGGCGTGAGGTGGGGGGCAGTGGCCCTCCCTCCCCTCCCGCCCACCCCTTCGCCCAGTGACCTTAAAGGATCTGTTTGCTCCAGGCTCACGAAGCCAAAGGAAGCATACAGAAGGATCAGCTGCTCCAGGCGCAGGGTCAGCTGCTGCGAGATTTCCAGAAACTGCCAGCAAGAGGGTGTGTTGTAGGGTGAGGGTACACCCGCAGGAGCGACCCACACCACCCCTTTCCCTCCCGCCCCCCACCATCCCCGGGGCGGATTGTGGGACGTGGGACGGGATGGGGAGTTTAGGCAAAGCGTACACGCTACAACACACCTTCTTTCGGACCAGCTCCTGCAGGCCCCCGAAGATGGGAGGAAAGCTCCTGGCTGAGGCCTCCAGGTACAGGAAGTAAGGCTGACACATCTGCAGGAAGGTGGGCATGGCCTTGGCCAGCTGTCCCTTTTGCACTCGGTCCCTGCTACGGAGAAGAGACATAGGTGGCTGGTGGGTGCTCTCACCCATTCGCAAAGACACACCCGTCGCCCTGGCCGGCCCACAGCGCCACATCCCCTTGGCCTGGAACAGGTGTGAAAGTGCCAGCACCTGCGCCCTCCAGCTTGGCTCCCTCAGCCGCCTGCTGGGCGCTGGCCAAGAAACCGGAGACATTAGGGAATCACAGCTTCCTCCAGGCGCCCCCCCCGTTGGTTTTTTTTGAGGGGGGCCGAGAGGGGGTGGAAAAATTGCCCGAGCCTTTCATGGTGTCGCCAGGTTAAAACCACCACCCGTCATGCCAGGATATCCGAGTCCCCGGATGCTTTACTTGCTAACACAGCTAGGGAAACAGCCGACAATGGCCCAAGAGCTTGGGCCTGTGCGGCCAGCATCCCCTAACCCCAGCATGGAAGGCCGGGAAGTTCCTGGCTCCTGGCTCCGGCCTGGCCATTTGGAGAAAAGTGAACCAAAGGGTGGAAGATCTTTTTATTTTTCATTTCTCCCCCTACTATACATTGAAAAAAAACAAACCAAAACAACCCTAAAAGTCTGAAGCTAAGGCTTTGAAACCAACAGCGTCCATCTTGGCGACACGCTAGGCCGGGTACCTGTCCCTACCTACCCCCTACCCATCAGTCCCACAGCGATTCTCTGAGGTGTCACTTTGGGGATTCAGGACCTGGGTGGTGTGTGAGCTGCCTGCCGCTCCTCTCACCCCACAAGTCCCCACCGTCAGGGATGGGGGACTGGCCCCCCGGGCCATTACCTGTACAGTAAGTAGCTTTGAAACTCGTCCGCTTTCTTCAGTAGATAGCGCAGTTGTTCGATGATGGGGCTGAACAAGGTATCCAGGGGCAGGCAAGGGACAGCTGGGCCAGGGCCGGAGGTCAGAGCCTCCTCCGGGGAAGGAGTGCAGGTGGGCGGCTCCAAGAGCAGGGGGCTGTCTTTGGGCACCTGGTCGGGGGATGGGAGCCACTGGGGGTCCTTGCAGGGCTGCGGCGTGGCCTTCCGGTCCTCCTGGTCTTCCTCTCTGGCGTTGGAGATGGGCGTTTCGTCAGACTCCATGGGCAGGGACTCCAGGAACCACTCTGCCGTAGCCATGGTGGGTGGGTTTGAGTGGTAGTGGGGGCTTCGACCTCTCTTAAATATGGGACCCGCCCTAGGGAGTGAAGCCCAGCCCTTCTCCTCAACCGCGCCGCCCTACAGCCCCGTGCGCTCTGACAGGTTTGCCTTGTTTAAATCTCAGCCGGCGGGGGTCGCAGCGTGCGCGCGGGGCGCGTGTGCTGGCTTAGCCCATGCTCGCTGGGGGGGGGGGTGCCGCCTGGGAAGCTCGCGTCTTGGGGTGCCAGTGGAGCCAAGGGTGTGCACCCACAGCCTTCTCTGTCTCGGTGGCCCAGGTGAAGGCACCCCTTCCCTCCCTCCACGCTGGAATGGGTGCACTTGAGGCCTCGTGGTTGTGGTTAATAGGACTTGGTGCCGGACCTAGCTGCTATCCGTACGTCAAGTGGGGAAGGGGAGCGGAAGCCTTCGCCTACGCGGCGATCTCATCCGGTAGCGCAAAGCTCCTATGGGATCGGAAGTCTTGCAGATCCCATAGCAAGGTGGTCCCAGAGCAGCACCACGCCCCCACCCCAGTAGCTTGGTTGGCAGCGCGAAGCTGCCGTCTAAGGAGCTCAACACCGCTGTGGGACGCCGCCAGCCCTTGGCCGTGCTGGGCCAGGTGCCTGGTCAGTCCGGTGGGATTTTAGGAGCCCACTTTTTGACCTCGCGCAGCTGCCACGGACACAGCGCCTTGTAGAAGTTGCCAGTTACCTGCTGGGGGTAAACTCATCAAGGGACACCCCACATCCTGCCTGGGGTGCCAGGACGCTGCCAAGCCCAGCCCAGCCCATGTCCCCCCAAGGCAGGGGGGACCTTCTCCCAGCTTGATCCCAGACCATGGAGGGAGCCCTGTCACTCGCCACGTGTCCCCTTCCTCCACCCCATTCATAAAAACATGGGGGACTCCATGGCTGAGGTTTTGCTTTTTTTTTTCTTCCTTTTTCTTTTTTTAAAATTTTATTTAAAAAAACCCTTGGTGCAATATTAAAAAGCGACACAGCCAGCTGGAGCAAACAACAAACCAATAGAAAAACGAAAAGGAAGGCCGGGGGAAAGACACAGAACCCTCACCCTCCGCACCCCACAATCCCACCTGTCCCCCCCAAAACTCCATCCAGGGGGCTGGGAAGCGTGGCGGAGGTGAGGGGAAGGCCACGCCCCCACCCCCCAAAACCAGAAAAACAAAACATACATACACACACATATATATATATAAAACACCCGCTGGGCTGAAGAGTTGGGAAATGCAGGGCGGTTCCTGCATCCCAATTTTTTTCTTTTTTCTTTTTAAAAATGTCCTGGGATGGGAAAGAGGAGTGATGACCTCCTTGCATGGAGCGGGAGATGATGGTTTCTGGGGGACGGGGAGAGAAAGGGGCGCCAGTCTCAGTCCACATCCACACGCAGAGTGGGGCAGGTCCAGAGGGGAGCAATGCTGACTCGAGCCGGGAGCGGGGGTGCTGCACCCCCTCTGATCATTAGAATCTGCCAGAAGAGCTCTGGGTTATGTCCGTCCAGCTCCCCAACAGCCCCCTTGGGGTCCAGTTCCTGGACTCCGGGGCGGTAGGGGTGGGCGTGGGGGGCTGGGAAAAGTCCTGGAGGGTTGGAATGGGTCCCAGGGGGTGGTGGCAGTGGAGGGGGCTCGTGTGTGCAGCTCAGCCTAAGAAGCCGTCGGGGTCGTCGTCCTCAAAGTGGCCCTGCTGTAGCACCTTGATGTGGTGCTCATAGATTTTCAGGGCGGGTCCCAGGCGGATGGACAGGCCTGTGAGCACGTCGGTGCGCTGCATGAGTAGCAGAGACTTGCCGTCGATTTCCTGAGGCCAGAGGGGGTGGAGGGAGGAGTTGGAGAGGCACAGAGGGGGAGAAAAGAAAAACAAACCACCAGCTCAGCGGAGGCTAGAGGCCACCTGTGTGGACGCCCTGGGCACCTGCGCCTCGCGCCCCCCGCACAGAAGCCCCAGGGTCAGTGTGCAAAGCCGAGGGGAGTTGGGGGGGGTGGGGGTGCAGCACGAACCTGCTCTTGGAAAGCCGTGGCCTGCTCCGGGAATCCCGCCTCGGTGAAGTACTCCACGACATCCATGACGGTCCACTCCACCGGGTCGGCTGGCTTCTCCTTGCGCCCGACTCTGCGTGCCAACAGGGGTCACCGTGAGCCCGTACAGCTGCGCCCTGCACCACGAGCCCCCTCACCTCCATCACTCCTCCGTCACTTACGGGCAGCCGAAAGGGGTCCCCTCGGCCCCAGGGAGGGCTGGCTTCCCAGGGGGTAAAGGCACGGGAGACGGGGAATCGGGCCCGGTGGCCACAGAGGCTGCAGAGAGCAAAGAACAAGACCCAACATGGGGTTGACACAGGCATGCCCTGTGTGCGTGGTTGGGGAGGGGGCCGCGCGCAGGCGAGGTGGGGGCACGCTCACCTGATCCCCCCTCCTTGCTCAGGGCTGCCATGGAGAACACCTGGCGGGTACCGGTGCCCGCGGCCGGCGCCCGCCCTTCCTCCTGGCCCGGGTGTGGACCGCAGGGGGACCATTCCTTGGCGCGGTCTTTGGCGCTCTGAGGGCCGCGCTCGCCATTCAGCTGCTGATGCTGCGCGCCCGCGGGACGGTCCATCTCGGGCACTTCGGAGCCCTCGGAGGCGTCGTCGTCTTCATCCTCATCGTCTTCGTCGTCCTCCTCCTCTTCCTCATCTTTCTCAAGCCCTCGCTCGTCTCCACCTCTCTGAGGGTCGCGGGGTGGGGTGGGGTGGGGTAGGGGGTAAGCGTGCGCCGCAGTTTCAGCGATACTTCTCCCCACCCTAATCCGGGACTTCCAAAAAAAAAAAAAAAAAAACAACAAAACCCTGAGAAGCCCGGCCCAGGGACCGCGCGCCCGACGCCACCTCCAGCCAAGAACAACGCGGACCAACTTTCCGGCGCGTTCATCGCGTGCCAGGCGCGGTGCACGGCCGGCCCCTCCGCGAGTGAGATCCGCCGCTCCCCACCCCCCACCCGCCAAAGTCGTTCAACAACCCCAAGGGGTCGCTACCGGGGGTGGGGGTGGGGGTGGGCGGGAAGCCTCTGCCGGTTACGGCGGAGTAAACTGAGGCTGGCAGACATGAAGTCACTTGCCAAGGTCACCACGCGCCAAACCCGCAGCCCACGCGCACCCAAGCTCCAGCTCTCCCGGGACTCGCGTTCCTCCCCAACCCCCGCCACCAACTTGGCCCGCACCTGCCCCACCGCACGGCGTCCCCCTCCCCGCGGCGCGCTCACCTTGCTCCGCGCGGCGCGGGCGTTGGCGGCCGGAGGCGCTCGTCCGGGCCTGTCCCCGCGGGGCAGCGCAAGCGCTCCGAGGCGGGTGCGCTCCAGGCGGCCCCGTGCCGCCGCTTCTTCCTCCAACAGCCCCTGCACGCGGCCGCGGGTCAGGCGACCGCTGGCGCCGCCGCTGCCCCCGAGGTAGCGCACGACTTCCCGCAGGCTCACGGGCCGCGCCGGGCCGCCGGCCCGCGCCGCGCCCCCCTCCGGCGGCTGAGGCTGCGGCGGCGGCGGCGGAGGCTGCTGCTGCTGCTGCTGCTGTGGCGGCGCCGGCGGCTGTGGCGGCGGCGGAGGCAGCGGCGGCTCCCGGGCGGCGACGGCGGGCGGCGGGGCGCGGCGCGGGCCGGCCACCGGCGGGGGAGCGGCGGGCGCGGGCGGCGGCGGCGGCGGCGGCGGCGCGGCCAGGGGCGCGGCCCGCTGCGCGCGGGGGCCCGGTTGCGCGGGGCCGGGCGAGGGGGGCGCTGTGGCGGCGGCAGCGGCGCGGGGCGCCCGGGCCGGGGCGGCGGCGACGGGCGCGGGCGGCGGCGGCGGCGGGGCGGGCGTGGGCGGCGGCGCGGCGGCGGCGGCAGCGGGGCCCCCGCGGGGGGCGCGCGGCGGGGCCGGCGGGGTGGCTCCGCGCCGGGGCGGCTGGACGCGCGCCGCGTTGCGGTAGGAAATGCTCCCCTTGTAGCTGACCCGGAGCACGGCGCGCTGCTGGATCAGTTTCTCGAGCTCGGCGCGCGTGCGCTCCGGCTCCGGGCCGTGCCGCCGCCGCACCATCCGGCAGATGCGCTCCAGGTCCGGCCGCGCCTTGCGCGAGCGCAGCGAGTCGATGGTGTCCAGGATCCACTCTTGGTAGTGCGGGGAAGCGGCGGACGACGAGGTGGCGGCCGCCGTGGTGGCGGCGGCCGCCGTCTCCGGCGGGGGTAGGGCCGGGGGCCCCGCCATGCCTCCCGCCCGGCCCGGCTGCACCGTGCGCGCTGCCTCCCTCCCAGCGCGGCGCCCCCCTCCCCGGCTCCCCTCCCTCCGCCGCTGCCCGCCTCCTCCGCCTCCCCCCCCGGGGGGCGCAGCGCCTCGGCGGAGCGGCGGCGGCGCTGCTGTTTCTTTGCAAAAAAAAAAGAGAGAGAGAGAGAGGAAAAAAAAAACTGAGAGAGAGAGAGAGAGAGAAAGAAAAGAGAGAGAAAAAAAATATGCACACACTCACTCACTCGCTCGCTCGCACGCACGCACACACAGAGCCGCTTGTGCTGGGCGCGCGCGGGGCCGGGGCTGCGCGGGAGGAGGGGAGCGCGGCGCGGCCGGCCCCTCCCCGCCGCCGCCGCCGCACGCGCGCCCTGCGCCCGGGACACTCCGGCCCCCCTTCCTTCCCTCCCTCCTCCTCCTCCTCCCCGCCGCCCGCCTTCCTCCCACCCCCACGCGCCCGCTTTTAAGGTGGAGCCCGGGGCCCCCCGCCCGCCCCCTTTTTTTTTTTAATTTTTTTTTTTTTTTTTTTTTTTTTTTACCCTGCGCTCGCGCTCACTCCGGCTCGCTCCGGCCCCCCCTTACAACTCCCGCGCGCTTTTTAAGGAGGCGCCGCGGAGTTGGCGCCGGGGCGGGGGCGGGGAGCGCCGGGGGAGGGGGAGGGGAGGGGGCGGGCGGGCGGCGGGCGGCGCTCGGCCGCCCTCCAGCCATTGGGCGCGGGACCCAGACGTCCCCGGCGCCCAGCCCCCCTCTCCACGCCTCCCCCGGCGCGCTCCGCTCTCGGGACCGCACTGACCGGGAACTCGCCCGGCCGGGGCCGCCGCGCGCTCGGCCGCCGCCCCCGCCCCACGCCGAGGGTGCGGGGAGGGGGCGCGCACCGGCTCCCCGCCCTCCGCTTCCGCCCCCGCGGCCGCCCGGCCTGCCCGGCGCGTCGGCTCCCGCCTCTGCCCAGAGCGCCCTCTCGGACCCGGGCTGCGCGCGCGGGGGCCGCCCGCAGCTTTTGGGGACCCCGTACCTGGGGTCAAAGGGCACGGCTCGCGTGCTGGGCGAGGAGGAGGGGCGCGATTCCCGAGAACCCCGCTTTTCCGTGGATTCCCGGCCAGTTCCCCATCAGCCTGACCGCTGGGGGCGGAGGAGGGGGGAAGATCCCGAAGACCCCCCGCCTCCCCAAGCCTCGCGTCCAGGGACGTGTGGGTGGGTGACCACAAGTCGGGAACGCCAGCGACACTTTTTTTTTTAAACAAAACTTTATTGGTAATAGTTTTCAAATATGTTTACAACAGCACACTCTTCAACAGGAAGTCTTTTTCCTTCGCGGCACACAGGTTAAATCGCCTCCCCGGGGGGCCCCCCACCCCAGGCCTGGCCGCTCCTCCCGGGGCTGGGGAGAAGTTAGGAGAGGACCAGGGTGGCGGGGCTGCGAGTGGGACGGCTCCTCCCCTCCCCCCCGTTGCTCCCCACTTTATTATTTTTTCAAGAAGAGAAAAAGCACAGATCGGACTTGGGGGGAGACGGGGAGAAGGGGTGATGGACAGCCGACAGCTAAGCTAGAGAAGGGGTGCCCCATATGGTAGGGGGATGGTGGCGGGCTGTGCCACAAGCTGCTGGGTGAGTACTAGGGGCGGCCCCTCCCACTGGGGACCCTGGCCTTGAACGCCGGACCAGGGGGCGGGTGGGAGGGGAGGCCGTGGCCGCTTCTTTGCAAGGAGACTGGGACTTCAAAATTCTAGCTGAGAATAAAATTCAGAGGGACCCTGGGCTGGTTTTCTTTCTTTCTTTTCTTTTCTTTTTTTTTGGAATTGGGGTGGGAGCGGGGAGACGCCTCTTTGACAAGAGAGAGGGTTCTGATTTGTCCTGAAGCCCAAGGTTTTGGGGGGCGAGGGGAGAGAGGTGTGCGGGGAAGGGCAGCAGGGGCTCGCTGGAGGGGCCGAGCCCCTGGGCCGACCCCAGACGGACAGACAGCCTGTGTGATCACCGACTGGCAGGGAGGGCGAGGTGGGGTGGGGGAGGCACTGGTGGACCTTAAATAAGATTTTAAATCGTTTCTTTAAAAAAAAAAAGAGAGAGAGAGAAAGAAAGAAAAAGAATGGTAGCAAGAATTCAGCTAAACAGGTCAGTAAAAACCTTCCCTTGAGGAGATGGCTCCGAGGGGAAGCCGGCCTGCGCCCTTTCGCCCTTAAGGCTGTGGGGGTGGTGGGGTGGGTGCCGGGACCCAGGGTTGAGTCGGGGGTGGGAGGTGGGCTTCTGCACCCTGCCCCTGGACACACCAGCGAGAGCCCGTCGTGCTGGTGAAGGACTCCTTTACAACAGGCCACGGTGGGCTAGGCGGGGGCAGGAGGGTGGGTGGAGTGGGGGGTCAAGTTAGAGGCGAGGAACTCTGGGGCCCTCTGGCTGTGCAATCCTTCCACCACCCCCCACCAAAAAAAAAAAAAAAAAAAAAAAGAACGAAAAGAAAAAAGAAAAGAAAAAAAAAAAAACAACAAAACAACCCGGGGCACAGGCCCGCCCCTAGAACTCGGTGAACTCCTTGCCGCACTTGTCGGTGACCGACACCCGGATTTCTTCCTCCTCGTAGTCGTCGAAGTTACTCGTGTCCCCGGGGCCTTTGAACTTCGGTACGAAGGGGGCTTCCACCTGGACGAGGAGGGAGAAGCACGGGGCCTCAGCAGGCAGCAACAAACGCCAAGGGTCTCACATTCCCCAGGCCGCCCCAGGGGGACCGCTGCCCGGCCCGGGGGGCTCCAGGACCCCCGTTTATTGATGTAGCTTTCTTCCTGGGCTGCCCACATGTCGCCGAGGTGGCTCCCCCCTCCCGACACGCCCACCTTCCGTGGGGTGGGGGCTGCCCACCTTCCTCTGGTAGATGGCAATCCAGTCGGTCGTAGCGAACCACTTGTGGTTCTTGATGTCGCTCACCCCGTTCTTGAGGTTCCCAAAGCGCTTGGTGAGATCCACCTGTAGCAGGTTCCGCAGCAGGTCCTTCAGGTCGGAGCTGAAGTGCGACGGGAACCGGACCTGGACGGAAGCGGGTGGGGTGGGGGGGCTGCGTGCTGGGCCGGCGGGCACCCCGAAACAACGGCTCCCGGGACGCCCACCTTCCGCGCCACACTGCCGGGGTCCCCAGCTCTCACTCCAGCAGCCCTGGGAGGGGCGGGCACGGCCCAGGTGCCCAAGGCCTGCCGCTCACCTGGGAGGCCCCATGGCGCCCTTGCCTCCTGCCCGGCCCAGCCGCGGTGGTCATGGCTGTTTGCGGAGTGAACCGGCAGGTGGGAGACCCTTCCCTGCTGTCCGTGTCTCTGTTCTTCAACCCCCACCCGTCCTGGCACCTCAGTCCACACTGCTGGGATGACCCCCGTGGGGGGATGGGGCGGGGAGGGGGCAGGTGGGCTGAGCGCTGCCTCCTCTGCAGGTGACCGGGCGGTGGCGCTGGAGGAGGGAGGCCCCGGGAGGCTTATAGATCCCATTTCACAGAGCGGGAACGTGAGGCTGGGAAGGGAGACACCAGCTCCTCCCGGCGGCTTCCATGAGCCAGTTCAGACCTGGGTCAGCTTCCTCGCGGCTGCCACTGGGGGCTGGGGGTTTTGCAAGTATCTTCTGGTTGTGGGAACTCCCTTTCTCTCTCTCTCTCTCTCTCTGTCCTTGGAAAGCTTCCCTCCCCCCAGACTCACCACAGCCCAAAGATCCAGCTTCGGGTCCCTGCTCTGCCCCTGGCGATCTGTGTGACCTTGGCTGGGGCCTTTAACCTCTCTGGGCCTGTGGCGGCCACTCTAAGACAAAGGGCAGATGTCCTTAGGTCCGCTGAGGGGGGGACATGCTGCAGAGGCCACGTGACAACTGGAAATGCCACCAAGAAGGGGGCTGGGCTCCTCCCACCCGCCCCCTCCCTCCTCCCACTGGGGGCCATCCCTCCGGGGCAATTTCTACGGGCTCATGGTCCCCCGCCCCAATTTCTTATCTTTTATTATTATTATTATTATTATTTAATTTGAGAGACAGAGAGAGAAAGGGAGAGAGAGAGAGAGAGAGGGGAGCTATTCCAATGGCTGGTTCATTCTCCAAATGGCTTCCATGACCAGGAGCAGGAATGGCTTCCATGGACCAAGCTGAAACCGGAGCCAGAGCTGCTTCTGGGTCTCCCAGGTGGGTGTCCTGGGTCCAAGCCTGGAGCCATCTTCCTCTGCTTTCCCAGACATGTCAGCAGAGGGCTGGATGGCAACCGGAGCAGCTGGGATTCAAACTGGTATCCTTATGGGATGAAGGGCGCTGTAGCCCAAGGTTTAACACACTGCACCACAGCACAAGGCAAGCTAACAGTCCAGTCCCTGAGAGGCAGCCGGCTGTCAAGCCAGCTCCAAAGTGGAGATGCTGAGGCTCAGAGGGGGCGGGACGAGGGGCAGTGGGGGAACAATTCTTCCATGGACTCCCTATGCCGTGAGCTGACACACAGTCCCCTCTGTCCTGTGGACACCACTCCCACAGGGAGAGCTTGGGGCTTGGAGCAAGAGCCCTGAGTCGGGGGGAGACTGGGTCAGGATACGAGCCTGGATAGGCCCAGTGCTTAGTGGAGGGTCTAGCCACATTTTGCCACACCAGCACTGCCTGGGGGCGCAGGTTCGAGTCCGGCTGTTCTCCTTCCCATCCAGCTCCCTGCTCATGCCTCCCAGGCCCCTGCCCCGCCACGTGGGAGACCGCGGGTGGCTTTGGCCTACCTCCCCCCCCGCTCCGGCCTTATTGCTCATGGCCCCCTCAGGAAGTGAGCCAGCGTAGGCTGGCAGCTGGAGAAACCTGTGTCCTTTCAAATGTGTCTTTTGAATAAATAAATACATCTGTTTGTTTTCTAAGAGACAAGTGCGCCCTGTCTGCTACGAGACCGGTGCACACTCCCGCTACGAGGGGACAGAAAGGCAAGGAGGGTCTCCTGGGGGCGGGGAGAGGCCTGGCAGGGTCCAGAGCTGGGGTTGGGGTGAGGCAGTGGCATCTGGCGAGCTGGGGAAGGGGCGAGCCAAGGAGGGGGGTGAGCTGGGGCTGGGGTGAGGCAGTGGCATCTGGCGAGCCGGGGAGGGGGCGAGCCGGGGAGGGGTGAGCCGGGGAAGGGGCGAGCCAGGGAAGGGGTGAGCCGGGGAAGGGGCGAGCCCGGGAGGGGTGAGCCGGGGAGGGGGCGAGCCGGGGAGGGGTGAGCCGGGGAGGGGGTGAGCCGGGGAGGGGGTGAGCCGGGGAGGGGGTGAGCCGGGGAGGGGTGAGCCAGGGAAGGGGCGAGCCGGGGAGGGGGCGAGCCGGGGAGGGGGCGAGCTGGGGAAGGGGCGAGCCGGGGAAGGGGCGAGCCGGGGAGGGGTGAGCCGGGGAAGGGGTGAGCCGGGGAGGGGTGAGCCGGGGAGGGGCGAGCAGGGAGGGGTGAGCCGGGGAGGGGCGAGCCGGGGAGGGGCGAGCCGGGGAGGGGCGAGCCGGGGAAGGGGTGAGCCGGGGAGGGGTGAGCCGGGGAGGGGCGAGCAGGGAGGGGTGAGCCGGGGAGGGGCGAGCCGGGGAGGGGCGAGCCGGGGAGGGGTGAGCCGGGGAGGGGCGAGCCGGGGAGGGGCGAGCCGGGGAGGGGCGAGCTGGGGAAGGGGTGAGCCGGGGAGGGGCGAGCCGGGGAGGGATGAGCCGGGGAGGGGCGAGCCGGGGAGGGGCGAGCTGGGGAAGGGGTGAGCCGGGGAGGGGCGAGCCGGGGAGGGGTGAGCCGGGGGAGGGGTGAGCCGGGGAGGGGTGAGCTGGGAAGGGGCGAGCAGGGAAGGGGCGAGCTGGGCGGGGGCCTCACCTTCCCGGACACGATTTTCTCATAGATCTGGATGGGCTGGTCGGCGAAGAACGGGGGGTAGCCGGCCGCCATCTCGTAGATGAGCACGCCCAGAGCCCACCAGTCCACGGCCTTGTTGTAGCCCTGCAGCGAGAGGGGGCGTGAGGAGCGAGAGGAGGGCGCAGGCCTGCCGGGCAGGGCGCAGCGGCAGCAGGGGTGGGCACCGGAAACCTACTTTGCTCAAAATGATCTCAGGGGCCAGATATTCGGGGGTCCCGCACAGGGTCCAGGTGCGGCCCTTGACACGCTTGGCGAAACCAAAATCTGTCACCTGCGGGGATGGGGGAGGAGGTAAGGGCAGGGGGTTGGGCGCTGCTGGCTGGGGGGCGCCTGCCTCCCGTGCCCTCCCCTGGGGTGTGCGTGCATTGGGTGGGTGCCGCCTGCCTCCCGTGCCCTCGCCTGGGGTGTGCGTGCGTTGGGTGGGTGCCGCCTGCCTCCCGTGCCCTCGCCTGGGGTGTGCGTGCGTTGGGTGGGTGCCGCCTGCCTCCCGTGCCCTCGCCTGGGGTGTGCGTGCATTGGGTGGGTGCCGCCTGCCTCCCGTGCCCTCGCCTGGGGTGTGCGTGCGTTGGGTGGGTGCCGCCTGCCTCCCGTGCCCTCCCCTGGGGTGTGCGGGGAGCACCTGGATGTAGCCCTGCTGATCAATGAGGAGGTTCTCGGGCTTGAGGTCCCGGTAGATGAGATCCAGCGAGTGCAGGTACTCGAAGGTCAGCACAATCTGGGCGGCGTAGAACCGAGCGTGGGGTTCGCTGGCAGGACGAGCAGAGGGGTCAGGGGCGCGGTCAAGGAGCAGGGCTGGGGCTGCTTGGGCCACCCACACCCCGCATCCCAGGGCTCCAGCGCATGCGCACCCGTGGGAGGCAGCAGGTGGACGCTCAAGTGGCTTGGGTCCCTGTCGCCCACATGGGAGACCAGGATGGAGTTCCAGGCTCCAGCCACCATTTGGAGGAATCAAAGAACAGATGAAACATCTCTTTCAATCTTTCTAATCTGCCTTTCAAATCAAATAGAAAATTGTATTCTTAAGGTGTTGCCTGTGTTTGAAAGTCAGAGAGAAGGGGAGATGCAAAGGGAGAGAGATCATCTGCGGCTTATCTCCACAAATGCCTGCCGCAGGGCCGGGAGCATCCTCCAGCTCTCCCACCGGGGTGCAGGGACCCGCGCATCAGCCAGGAGACGGACCGGAGGTGGGCAGCCGGGACTCTCGTCGGAGGTAGCCACTCGAGCCACTGTGCCACAAAGCCGGCGCCAAAATCAAAGTGAACTGTTCCAAATGCATCATAGAAAGGCAGGGCACTGGTTTGTTACCAGCGCCTGCGAAGCCTGGCATTTCCCATGTGGGCACTGGTGTGTGTCCCGGCTGCTCCACTTCCAGTCCAGCTCCCTGCCTGTGGCCTGGGGAAGCAGTGGAGGACGGTCCAAAGCATTGGGCCCCTGCACCCGCGTGGGTGGGAGACCCGGAGGAGGCTCCTGGCTCCTGGCTTTGGATCGGTTCAGGACCGGCCCTTACGGCTGCGTGGAGAGTGAATTTACGGACGGAAGATTCAAAAGTAAAAACCGAGGGCCGAAGCCGAACCGCGCTGCTCCTGGGGACAGCGCCACCGTGCGGCCCGTCCCGCGTCTGCCACCAAGATGAGCGGGCCATGGAACGGGGGTGGAGGGGCCTCTCCACTGCCAGGACAAACCAGCAGTGCGTTCTTCCACCTGGCCGAAGGAGAAAGAGAGGAAAGATCTTCCCTCTACTGCTGTAATCTCTAAACGGCCGCAACGACCGGAGCTGAGCCGATCCGCAGCCAGGAGCCTGGTTCTGGCACCCAGCCGGAGCTAAGCAGACTCCGCTCAGCAGAAGGAGGAGGTGACAACAGGAGACCTACAGGCACGATTCCGTCTTGGGTCAAGTTCAAGCGCAGGCTAAACTGACTCGTGGGTGAATTTTATGTATCTACTTATTGATTGGAAAAGCAGAGCCACACAGGAACGTGCAGACACGGGGTGGCCAGCTGAGATGGCTGCGTCCTCCTGTCTGAGTGCTTGGGTCCAGCCCAGCACGTCATGGTTCAAGTACGTGGGTCCCTGGCACCCATGGCAGGCAAGGGGGCGGCACCGTGGCCTGGGTTCTCGGCGTGCAGCTTCGGCCTTGCCCAGCCCTGCCTGCTGTGCCCGTTCAGGACGTGTAGCAGTGAATGGGAGTCTTCTCTGTGCCTCGCAAAACAAAACAAAAATTGGCTGGCATTGCAGCACACTGGGTCAGGGCTGTCACTCGTGATACGGGTATCAGCATCCTGTAAGAAAAACTGGTTCGAATCCCGGCTGCCCCACTTCCCACCCAGCTCCCTGCCTGTGGCCTGGGAAAGCAGCCGAGGACGGCCCAAAGCCTTGGGACCCTGCACCCGTGTGGGAGACCCGGAAGAGGCTCCTGGCTCCGGGCTCTGGACCGGCTCAGCTCTTTCTCTTTTTATTCTTTCTTTCTCTCTCTGTTGCATTACTCTGCCTTTCGGATAAATACAGTCTTAAAAGTGAAAAAAAATTCTTTTTAGTAAGTTTCCCATCCTTTTTAATATTTATTTATTTATTTTTATTGGGAGGTTAAGTTTACACAGAGGAGGAGGAGAGACAGAAAGAAAGATCTTCCATCCACTGATTCACTACCCAAGTGGCTGGCAATGGCCAGAGCTGAGCCGATCCAAAGCCAGGAGCCAGGAGCCTCTTCTGGGTCTCCCCCGCGGGTGCAGGGTCCCCAGGCTGTGGGCCGTCCTCCACTGCTTTCCCAGGCCACAGGCAGGGAGCTGGGTGGGAAGTGGAGCAGCCGGGACATGAACTGGTGCCCCTGTGGGATCCCGCCGCATGCAAGGCGAGGACCCAAGACACCAGAGTGCCACTCCAGACCCAGGGGCAGTTACTGTTAAAACACTGATGTGGTATTTCTACAGAGTGTTGTGTGACATCTAGGTTGCCAACAGGAAGAGAAGAAAAAAAACAAATCTACGAGTGTCAGGAGCGCCCACATGCGTGTCCCAGCATGCCGCCTGCAGCCCGCGGCGGCCCTTCCCCGCCCTGTCCGCCATGCTGGCCAGCCGCTTACCTGAACCTTCCGATCCGCCGAAGGTGGGAGAACATCTCTCCGCCAGGCACGTACTCCATGACCATGTATAAGTTGGAGTTGTCCTGTTGGGGGGAGGCATGGGCTCACCAATGGGCCCAGTCCCGGACCCTGGGGGCCTTTGGGGGTGGGCACAGGTGCCAGGCGAGTACAGGGGCCAGTTCAAGAAAGGAGCAGCCGCTGCCCTGCCCGCTGGGAAGCTGGCCCCTGCAGGACAGAGTGAGCCATCTGTGGTGGGTATTTCTGTCTTGGGACACAGAGGAAGGCTTCCCCTGGGCAGGGCCAAATGGGAGCAGGGTGGGCAGTGGGATTTGCTGGACCTCAAATACAAATACGAAGACCCTTTGTTAAAAAATAATAATAACATATATACGTATAGGATAAATTCCGAGATGGCGGTGGCATAGCCCCTTGGCCACAGGCTTTTGGGATTGCCCGCCGGGGTCACACACCTCCACCCCTCCCCCGGCTGTGACACTGGCCCTGCCAGGCCTCACGCCTCCAGGAGGGGTGACCACAGCAATTTCCCCATCTTACAGGGGACAACAGCGAGGCTGGGGCAGAGGCTGGTTCCCACTTGCCCGCCTGGGTGCATGACGCTGCCATGGCTGCTGTCTGGGGCGCGCGTGCGTGCGTGCGTCCTCTAGGCCACGGTGGGGGGTGGCGGCCACTACAAGTGAACCAGCCGGAGAGCTCATCCTGGGTGTCTCGGGGCTACTGGGACTTCTGGTTTGTCCTGTGCCATGGGCCACCATCAGGACCACTCCCTGCTTCCCTGTGGGACACCCCCGCCCCCGAATCTTGGCCCTAGGCCCGCAGCCCCCCGTCGCACCTTGAAGGAGAACTCGAGTTTGACGAGGAACGGGAAGTTCACAGCCTGCAATATGCGTTTCTCATTCAGGGTGTGTTCGATCTGTTTCAGCTTTACCACCTGCGGAGCGGGGGCTGGTTAGCTGGGAGCCCTCGGGATGGAGCACCAGCAGCGCAGAGCTGGGACGGGGGAGGCGGGCAGTGTGGGGGAGCTGGGAGACCCCAGATGGCACCCTGTTGTGGTCTGGGGAGAAGGAACAGCTAAGCTGAAATTCTAAGTAATAATAATAATGACAAGGGTGGCCTGGCACAATAGTTTAGTGACTAAAAGTCCTCGCCTTGCATGCCCAGGATCCCACAAGGGCGCCAGTTCGAGTCCCGGCTGCCCCACTTCCCATCCAGCTCCCTGCCTGTGGCCTGGGAAAGCAGTGGAGGACGGCCCACAGCCTTGGGACCCTGCACCCGCGGGGGAGACCCAGAAGAGACTCCTGGCTCCTGGCTTTGGATCGGCTCAGCTCTGGCCGTTGTGGTCACGTTGGGGAGTAAACCAGCAGATCTGTCTCCTCTCTGTAAATCTGACTTTCCAATAAAAATAAATACATCTTTAAAAGATTAAAGTCGTCTTCTGACATGATTAAAGCATGTGAAGATGAATTTATTTTTTTAAATTTAACTTATTTTTAACTAAAAAAAAAAAAACCAAACACATTCTTATTTGAAAAGCAGCGATAGAAGGAAGCGAGGAGAGACCCTCCATCTACTGATTCATCCCCCAGATGATCACAACAGCCAGGGCTGGACTGGGCTGGGCAGAAGCAGAAAACACCCCAGCACGCGGGCCTCGTCTGCCTTCCCAGGTGTGCCAGCGGGGAGCTGGGTCGGAAGCGGAGCCGCTGAGGGAAGTGTTCGTTTGGGTCCCTGGCATCACAAGCCAGCGGTGCTGGCGGCTGGACCCACGCTGCTCAGAGGAGCCACCGGCTCCTCTTCCTACTGTCCGTTAGGCAGCTAGAAAGTCTGGAATCACGGGGGAGCCTCGGCTTCCCTTTCCAGGGGACAGTGAGCTGCAGTATAGTGGGGTCTGCCACAAAATGGGGGGTCTCAGAAACGGTACCCTCCCCCAAGATGGGTGCTGGTGGGAGTTCGGCACACCCACACCCCACGTCCAAGAGCCTGGGTTCGATTCCCAGCTCGGCTCCTGACCCCAGCTCACCGTAGGAGGCAGCAGGTCAGGGCTCAAGGGCTGGAGTCCCTGCCTCCCTCGTGGGAGACCTTGACAGAGCTGAGGGGTGGGGGCGGGATGCTCCAGCTCGCCTTCAGCCTTGGCCTCGGTCAATGAGAGTGGTTTGGGTGTTGGGGCCTGGCTCAGCATGCCTACCAGTTTGGGATCCAGGACATTGCCGTGGACGGCGCCCCCTCCTGCCAAATCTGCAGCTCATTGGGTCTCTTGTAGCAAAGTCTTATCTTGACCTGCATCATTACCCATAGCTCCAGCCTCACAGGTGCCCAACGCTATCTTTGGCCTCATGGAACTTTCTAGAACATTTCTTTCAGAAGCATGGGGGTGGGGAATCAGTGGGAAGCCAAGCCTCCCTGTGTGCGTCGGGGGTCCCCAGTGCGGGGGCTCACCTTCTGTTTGTCAAGTATCTTCATGGCATAGTGGTTCCCGGTCTCCTTGTGTTTGACGAGCATCACGCGCCCAAAGGAGCCAGTGCCAAGGGTCTTGATGCGTTCAAAGTGATCCAACTGGGCCGTGTTCTGGGGAGCAAGGGGTGACGCACAGGTCACGGGCTTTGCGGGCAGGGGCAGAGGGCAAAGGATGACGAGGGTGGGAAACCAAGATGGTGGAGGGCGCATTTCTGCAGGCGGGCGGGTGGCAGGGGCCAGATCTGGCCCTGGCCCTGGCCCGGGGCCCGGGAGCTGCTGGCAGCTGCGTGGGGTGGTGGGGAGGGGAGGCACAAGCAGGGTAGGGGCCCCGGCTTGCAGGCTGGCAAAGGTGGACAGTCAAGAGCCCCGTGGGTGGCTAGCCCTGGGCCCCGCTCCACTGCCCGCCCCTCCCCGCAGGGTCCTGAGCCTCTGGGCAGGTAGGTGGACTTACCTGTGCGGGATTTTCCCATTTTTTAAGAAAATCTTCTTTGGCTTTGGCTAAGAACTCTTTCACTGAAATGAGAGGGGCCCAGGTTAGAAGAGGACACTTCCCTACCCCTCTCTCCAGAATCCTTTATTACTGGTGGAAAGTGGGTGTTACCACTGCCTCCATGTCCTGCCACGGCCCCTCTGCCTACCTACTGCCTTCGCGCTGCCCCTGGACACCCACTTCCGCCCCTTCAAAGACACAAGGGGATTGAAAGCAGGATCTGGGAGGCTCCGGAGGGGGCAGGCCAGCCCGGGTGCCTGCCCCCGCGTGTGCCCCAGTGCTGCCTGGCATTCCTGGGCCAGGGCCCACGCCCGACGCGGTATTTATAGCCTTGGGAGCTGGCCGTTCCTTCAGGCCCCCCTCTCTGGGAGGCTGGGCCCGGAATGGAGGCCTCCCAGGCTCGGCTGCCCTTGGGGGCCTTCAGCTGTCGCCCTGGCCCCCAGCTGGCCCTCCTGGCCCCTGGAGCTGGTTCCAAGGGAAGCCTGGCCCACTGCCTGCCCCTCCAGGCGACAGGAGGGGGACACCTCAAGGCCAGTGTCACCATCCGGTTGATGACGGAAGACTGTCCTGGTGGGCCTGGCCTGGGGGACTGGCATGGGTCATTCTTGCCTAGCAGCTCCAGGCCCAGGCTCTGGCTTGGACCAATCAGGGGCTACTGAGAGCGACCTCTCGGGGCCTCCATTTGCCTTATCTGTGGTGTGGGAGAGCGGTGATGTCCCCTTAAAAGCAGGGCAGGTGACCCGGCCTGAAGGAGACGCCCTACTTTGGAAAAGGAGGTTGGGTAGTAGCCAGTATGACCTACACATCGCTTATTCATTGTAAGTCTTTCGTAGTATCAATGTTGAGACAGAAAATAGGCAATGGGCAGGGGAAGGCAGCTCTCCACTCGCCGGCGGCTTGAAGCATCCCCTACCCCGTAACACCTTCAGGGACCACTATCCCACTGGCCCAGGCTGGATTCTCACCCGGGAAGGTAGGAGCTGGTTTTTCTTCCCATTGCACAGATTACAAGACTGACCACTTGCCCAACGCCCCCCCCCCCAACCTCCGACACACACACACACACAGTTCAGCCACTTTATAAGCAACTTGGCCACTGGTTTCGCCACTGGCCACAGTGCCTTGGGGTGACCTGCGACAGAGCTGTCCTCAGGCCCCCAATGCACGTGGGTGAAAATGGCCACCCAGAACTCACCCCAACACCAGCATCCTTCCGCACCCTGACCTTGTCCATCACCGGCCTGCAGGGGATCCCACGCTGGTTCTTGGGTAGGCATCATGCTGCTACTGTCCCCCATCTGTCCCCTCAGCGCCCCAGCCACAGAAAGCCCTCCGCAGGTGTGGGTGCGTGCGTGCGTGTGTACATGTGACGGAAGCTGGGTTCGAGGCAAAGGACGACGGGGCCCAGAGGAGAGATGCAAGCTGGCGGCTCCTCCTCCACCTGCTGTCCCCAACGCAGCCCTTCTGCGGCCTTGCAAGGTGCAAGAGGAGGAGGAGGCGGGAGGAGGAGGAGCCCAGCCCTGGTGTGGACTAGATGCCCAGCGTGGGGCTGGGGGCAGTGCCGGCAGATAAGGAGGAATCTTGGGGGAGCGGACCTCAGCCAGGACGCCCTTCCCCTGCCCCCACTCACCTCCACTTCCATCTTCTAGCAGAGGGTAGAATGGGGCGGGGCGGGGATGGGGGAGGAGTGGTGGGATGGGGTGACGTGGGGCCAGGGTGGGGAGGCACAGGGCAGGGTGTGGGGGGCTCTTAGTTCAGCCTTCGGGCTGTGGCTTAGGCCGCTGCCCCCTGCCCCGTTGGAAGGTGTGGCGCAGGTAGCTCAGCAGGCGGACGGCCAGGTGCGCCCAGAGCAGCAGCTGCAGCCACAGCTGGAAGGTGACCTCAGGGTCTCCATCCTGGCTCCTGGACCGCAGTTGCATCCCTGCGCAGCCCTGGCCTCCCTCCCCCGGCTTAGCCAAGGCCTCTGGGGGGCGGACGGACTTCGGGAGGAGGAGCTGGTTGCCACGGAAGCGCTTAAAGGTAACCTGCTCCTGGCAGGAGGACGTGGTGGAACAGGCTCGGGAGTGGTGGTGGTGGGGGTGAGATGTCCCTGGCTACCCAACCCAGCAGCCTGCAGATGGGGCGGGGTGCTGGACACCCACTTCCCCTTCCAGGGATACCCCACCACAGCTCCCAGGGCTCTGCCTGCCTCAAGTGAGTGCGCCATCGCCATCGCAGCCCCTATCCACACCCCCCTCCCCCCGCAGTGCCCCTGGCGCAGAGGGGACTGAGTTAGGCCCAGGCAAGGACCCTCACTGCCTTCCCCACCCTCAGAGGCCCCAAGAGCTGGCTCCTCCTCCTCCAATAATTAGCTGAATCAACAGCTGGAGAGGCTGGGCAGGAGGGGGCCCTGTGCCTGGGGACAGGGAGAAAGCTCCCCCCAGCCCCGGGCTCGGGAGCCTCCTGCCACCACGGACGCCTGGGACGCCCTGTCTTGCTCCCATGCGGGGGCGGGTGGGCGGACGGACAGGAGAACAGGCGGCGGATGGCCTTGGGCCCTATCAAACCTTGCCCAGCGTTCGGCTTGGGCTCTCGGCCATGAAGAGTCCAAACCGGAAACGAACAGCTGGGGGGGCGGGGAGGGAAAGGCAGCCTGGCCCATCTCCCTCCTTTTTTCCAGATCCTAAATCATCAAGCAGTGGGAGGGGTCAGTCTCTGGGAGAGAGAGAGCACGACCCAACACGCAGCCCAGGGTTGGGTGGGGGGTCGCAGATGGCAACAGGAAGTCTCCCCGTTCCCCATCTTCTACGGGAGGGGGTGGCGGTGCCAGCCACAGCAGTCTGCTCTGGTATTGAATCAGGGCTACCCCCACCCCCACTACCACCAGGGTTGAAATCTAGAAACGCATCTGCAAAGGTGGGGCGGCCATGGTCACGTGTCCAGCTGGACAGGGTGCTGGAGCTGTGGGCTGGGGTCACTCCTGCCCCACAAGACCCTCTACTCTCTGACACCTGGCAGTTGGTCCTGGGAACTCTGCGGCCTAGGCTGAACCCCGTCTCGTCCAGCCTGGCCCGGATCCCCAACGCTCAGGCTGCCCCCCACCTTCTCTAAGTGGACCAACTCCAGTCGCCCCCCACCCCACCGTTGTCTCAACAGGGGCTGCCAGTCTGCCTTCCTCGCCCTCTTCCTCTCTCCCTCCCCTACCCCCCCGGGCATCACCTCCCGGCCCGGAGGGGCAGCGAGTGCCCAGGGAGTTGCTATAGCAACAGGGCTCAGCCTCACCATCAGTGGGGTTGGAAGCCATCACTCAGTCTTCCTCACAGGGCATCTGAGCTACGGTGGCCGGGAAGGCTCAGGAGACGTGCCGTCCGAGCTTTCTGGCAGCCCGCCCCATAAGCCCTGCCTGCAGGGGGAGCCGCGGAGCCGCGGGGCGGGAAGGGAGAGGAGGCAGCCCGTTGGAGGCCGGCAGGTGCAGAGCGAGGGCTGCGGGGGAGCCCTCCGAGCTGGGCTGTCTTGGTTGGACGGGGCTTACGGCAGAGCTGCCTCGGCAGGACCCTCCTGGGCACGGGTACAACTGCCAACCCGCAGCGCCGTCCGCGCCTTGTGGGCTTCTGTAGGGAGTTGGAGTAACAGCTCTGCCACCGCGGAGGCGGCGGGGGAGGGGGCGTCGCGGGGCGGGGGAGGGGGCGTCTGGGGCGGGTGGGCTCCCGCGTGCAGCTCCGTCCCCGCGTGCGCCCCTCCCCAGGGCAGGGCGCGCTCCGGGTTCCACGCGGCTGTGGGTGCCGTGGGACCATGGCCGTCAGCCTTTCTCTTGTCACCCCGCTCGGCCCTGCCAAGCCGGGGCTTGGTGGTCCTACGGAGACCCCCGGCTCGCGGGCTCGGTGGCCGGAGCGTGGCCGGGGACGGCACTCCAGGGCAGGAGCTGATGGCATGTTTGAAAAGAGGGCGAGGGGCCGCGTTCCGGGCAGGGCTACCCAGAGCTCTCGGCTTCTGTCAACGCGCTTGTTGGCTGACTGGCCGGAGGTGTATGTGAGCATGTGGGACGCACACCACCCCAGCTGACCGGAAACCCCTGGCTGCTGCGCGTTCGTGGGAGCTTAGAAACACATGCTTCGGAGGCCCGGTGCGGCAGCCTAGTGGCGAACCCCTCCACTTGCATCTGCCGGGATTCCAAATGGACACCAGTTCGTGTCCCGGCAGCTCCACTTCCCATCCAGCTCCCTGCCTGTGGCCTGGGAAAGCAGTGGAGGACGGCCCAAAGCCTTGGGACCCTGCACCCGCGTGGGAGACCTGGGAGAGGCTCCTGGCTTTGGATCAGCTCAGCTCTGGCTGTTGCGGCCACTTGGGGAGTGAACCAGCGGATGGAAGATCTTTCTGTCTATCTTTCTGTATATCTGTCTTTCAAATAAAAATAAATCAACCTTTTCTTTTTTCAGACAGACAGTGTCTGGCTGCACAGCACGGTGGTCCCGCAGTGGCCGTTGCCCTTGGACACTGCACAGGGATGGATCGCCTGGGGACACAGCGTCGGGATGGTGCCCCCTGCAGGCGGGGCTGCCTACTGCTCTGGCTGCTGCCCCAGCCTGGGCACCAGAGGCCCTTTCTCTGTAGGATGGCGACATGGGCTGCTTTTTGCATCTAAGTTTGTGGGGGTGTTTCCAGGGTGAGAGGGGGAGGGTCAGGGTTGACCACCGGAAGTCATCTAGCTGCACCGTATGTCAACGGGAATGAGTGACATCAGGAGGACACAGCGAGCGCTGATCCCATTGAGCTTATTGCTTTCCCCTGAATTGCAATGAGTTCAGTGTTCCTTACTTTAAGAAAATACTGGGGCCCAGTGCGGTAACCTAGTAGCTAAAGTCCTCGCCTTGCAAGAGCCAGGATCCCATATGGACACCGGTTCGAGTCCCGGCTGCTCCACTTCCCATCCAGCTCCCTGCCTGTGGCCTGGGAAAGCAGTGGAGGACGGCTCAAAGCCTTGGGACCCTGCACCCGGGTGGGAGACCCGGAAGTAGTTCCTGACTCCTGCCTTTGGATCGGCTCAGCTCCGGCTGTTGTGGCTATTTTGGGGAGTGAACCAGTGGCTGAAAGTTCTCTGTCTCTCCTCCCTGTAAATCTGCCTTTCCAATTAAAAAAAATCAATCAATCTTTGAAAAAGAAAATGCAGGTGAACGAGCGGCCACCTCTGGGCCTCTGACATCGCGAGGGGCCCGTGGCAGTTGACGGATCTGGATTTGGGTCCTGCCTCCCTGGGCGTCCTCCTTGTCACAGTCGTTAGGCAAGCACAGGTTTAAGCCTGTCCCGAGAAGTCCCGGGAGCAGAGACGTCCAGTGCAACGTCCTCGGCCGGCACGGCCTATGCTCTCCGCCATCAGTCATGCCTGCCTCGCGCTCAGGAGGAGTCCTTCCGGGACCTGCGACCGCTCTCCCTCCTCCCTGCCCACCCCCCACCCAAGCCAGTGTGGACTCCCCCCCTCCTTCCTTCCTGGGCCCCAGCACAAGTGTTTGATCCGCCTTGAAGGTTTTCCAGGGCTATGTCATCTGCACAACTTTTCAGCCAGGGCACTGCAATATATAGCCTACAGCCTCCATCTTCTACTTCCTGGCTGGGGGGAGGAGGGGGGTGTGAGGCCCAGCCTCACCTGCTGGGGGCGGTCCCGCCGGCCCCGCCCCTTCTGCCCGGCACCCCCTCCAAGCTCGTGGGGAGACCTTTTAGGGACACTATCAAACACTCAGCCACAGGCACTTGCTCGCCTCCCCCCCCCCCATCGGTGCCATGTCCAGAAGCTTCCTCAGGCCAGGCCAGGCCAGGCCAGGCCACGCTGCTGCTCATGTTGAACCCCCTCTGTGGCTTTCAAGGGGAGAGGGCGGAGGAGCGGGCGAGCAGAAGCCAGAGCTGGCCAGTGGAGGGCTGGCGTGGCCCCCGCCTGTCTGTGAGGCTACCTGCTACAGGTTCAACTTCACGCCTGGACCAGCTTGCATAGCCAGGGGGGCCGGGGTCGGGGCAGCACTGGGGAGGGGGCTCTAGACCAACTCGTGAAGGTGTTTCCAGGCCCACTGAGTCTGGGCGGTGAGCGGCGACGGTAGGGGGGTTATAAAACGGGCTGCTCTCCAGCTAAGGCCTGGCAGCTGGGAGACGCCATGGGTCCCCTCTTGATGGCACCCCGGGATTCTCCCGGGTGGCTGCCCACATCCCTCCAAATCCTTCCTCTCCAGGGCCAAGACCAAGCAGAAGGAGTGTCCCCTCCCCTGGGACACTGATGGAGGGGGGGCCCTGCACACAGCAGGGGGCAGGAGGGGGGCCTCTGGTGCAGCCCCCGCCCCCCACCCCAGGAGACAGCCGCAATGAATGCCAGCCAAGACCAGCTCCAACTTGGCTTTGCCAGCCCTGAAGCGTTTTTTCAAGGGTCACAAACAGCCTGCTTCCCTGGCCAGGCGCGCACGCACACGCGCGCACACACACACACACACACACACACACACAGGCCCGGTCCCTGGCTGGCTGCGAGGAGGCAGCCCCAGTACAGGCACACAGTGGCAGGATGACACAACGGGAGGGGTGGGGGGGCTGCACCGGCGGCGCCCCCTCTTCCCCAGGCCAAGCGTGCGGGTGGGGGCTACCCTAAGGTGAAAAGCCGAAGGGCAGGAGAAAGATGGCGGGGGCTGGAGGGGGGAGGGGTGTGGTCACCAAGAGGCCAAGGTCCCTGCTGGCCGGAAGCTGACAGACCCCCCCCCAGGGCCCTGCCAGGCACCGGGAGGAGGAGGGGGTCAGGATCGGGCAGGGCCATCGGAGGGGTGCAGGTGAGTGAGCCAGGAGGGAGAGGGGGGCGGGTAGGCCAGGAAGGGGGTGGGGTGGTGACAGGGCCCCCCCAGCGGTGCTTCGTGCCCTGGTTGGCAGTGACAGCTGGGTGGGGGGACGCATCTGTGCCATGGGGGGGCGGTCAGTGGCCACAGGGCCCCGAAGTGGGCACGTGTGTGTGTGTGTGTGTGTGTCGGGGGGCGGGGTGTCCTCGCACCCCAGCCTTGGACGAGGGTGGACAGTGATGGGGTTGTCTGTGTGTGTGGGGCGTGGGGGGGCGCCGCGGGGGAGGGGCCGGGCATTGATGGACAGGCCGTGGGGTTGGGGGGGGTGGACAGGCTGGCAGCGCGAGGCCGAGATCGGGGTCCCGGAGGCCCGGGCACTCACCGCTCTCCTGCTCGCTGCCCTTCTTGGCGGCGGCTGCGTTGCCCATCGCGGCTGCGGCGGCGGCGGCGGCGTCGGCCGGGGCCCGGAGCTGCGGTGCGGCGGGTGCCTGGCGGCCACCAAGGGGCCCCGGAGCGCGCTGGGCGGCGGCAGCGGCGGCCCCCCTCGGGCTGGCTGCGCTGGCTGCGGCGCCGCGACCCCCGCCCAGCCCCTGCTTCCCGCGTCTCTCCGCGCCCGCCCGCCTGCCTGCCTGCCCGCCTGCCTGCCCGCCCGGGAACCTCAGCCCCGAGTCCGCTGCTGCTGTCCGTGACGCCCCCGCAGCCCGCCGCTCATTGGCCTAGCCCGCCGTGATGGACAGCGCCGTGCCGCCGCTCATTGGCTTCGCGAGTGTCTGCCGCGCCACCATAGGCTTCGGGCTCCGTGACGCGCGCGCCCCGCCGCCCGCCACTCACGCGCTCGCGAGGACACAGCTTGGGCGGGACGGCGCTTCCCATTGGCTGAGGACGTCTGCCGGGGCGGCCCTACCGGGTCGCCGATTGGTCGAGGCGCACTGTTGGACAGGCCCCCTTCGTAGAACGTTCAGTGTCAATCCCGGGGTGAGAGGGCGGGGCGGAGAAGCCGTCTGAGGCCCTGCCGGGCCGAGCCGGGCCGAGCCGAGCCGAGCCGAGCCGAACCGGGCCGAGCCGAGCCTGGCCGGCGGCCGCGCGGCGCTCCGAGGCCCCGGCGGGCGCCGCAGTCCCCCGCCCGCGCCCAGTGCGGCAGCGGCCGCCGGCCAGCCGGGGTGGACGCCGCCGCCCTGGCCACCTGCCGCCGGGGGACGGGTCAGAGGTCTCCGTGGTCCTCCCGCGGACCTGGCCGGCTTGTAGCGGGGCGGGTGGGGAAGCTGCCGCTTTCTCCCGCAGTCACGGGCGCGAGCTTCCTGGCGATGCTGGACCTCGGGGACGAGGGGTCGCAGCTGTGCCGTGGGTGCCATGGCACGCCCCCATTTTACAGACGACCCTCTAAACCCCCTCCTCCGCCCGGGCACGGACCTGAAAAGAGGGGTGTCCTGCAGTGCACCCAGCTGGGGATGACCAACAGTTCCCCAGCTGACAGTCGGAGCTGCGGCCTTGGTCAGAGGGGCTTCTGGTTTTGGAGGCAACCCCAGACTGGGGAAGGGCTGTCTTGTCTTAGAACTATGTGCCCCCCTGCCCTAGACCCTTCCCAGCCCTCTAACCGGGACCCCCCAGCCCCACTGCCCCGGACCCCCCCCAGCCCCACTGCCCGAGACCCCCCCCAGCCCCACTGCCCCGGACCCCCCCCAGCCCCACTGCCCGAGACCCCCCCCAGCCCCACTGCCCCGGACCCCCCCCAGCCCCACTGCCCCGGACCCCCCCCAGCCCCACTGCCCGAGACCCCCCACCAGCCCCAATGCCCCGGACCCCCCCCAGCCCCACTGCCCGAGACCCCCCACCAGCCCCACTGCCCCGGACCCCCCCAGCCCCACTGCCCGAGACCCCCCCCAGCCCCACTGCCCCGGACCCCCCCAGCCCCACCCCCCCCCAGCCCCACTGCCCCGGACCCCCCCCAGCCCCTGTCCGTCCCCCCCCTCCCGTGTGGGGAAGCTGAGCCTGTGTCCTGGGAGCATTAGCTTTGTGTGTGTGTGTGCCCACGTGCGCTGGGATCTGATATGGATCTCTTCCCGCGGGTCAGAGTCCAACCCACCTACAGACCTGAGGAAGCAATGCCCGAGGCAGGACCACAGTGGCATGTGCCCGCCAGCCAGGGCTGCGGCCACTCCCTGGGGGCATGAGGGCTGGACACTCGCCTCGATGAAGTGCTCTTATTTTCAAACCAACCAGATATCTTTAATATAAAAATGCCACTGGCCCACAGGCTGTAGTCGCCACAGCCCTTGGAGGGCACGGCTCCTGCGGTTCCCGGGAGGGCACGCTGGTCTTGGCAGAAGCCAGGTGCGGGCAGCCGGTGGTGGAAGGGTCGTCCTGCTGACGCGCCTGCCAGTATCTCCCCCAGGGTGGGAGACTGTGGCTCTCCCTGGGCACCCTGCTGTTGGCGAGGTCGGCCTGCCCATGCTGGACAAGGGGACGGGTGGTGGCCCAGAGGGGGCCTGTGGCCATGTGGTGCTCAGTGGCACAGGTATGGACAGTGGTACACACAGGGACCAGAACAGCGCCCCTCGTGGGGTCCCCCGGAGGGGGCGAGATGATCTTCAGCGCCACAGTGACAGCCTGGATGCTGTGATGGTCCCTGCAGGCTCCTGCCGGCCTTGCGGGCTCCTGGGGCGGGCCTGGCCCTGTCTCCCGCTCGGGGCGGGCCTGGCCACCGCCCGGCTTCCCCCTTCCCCGTCCAGCATGGCTTAGATGCAGTCCATAGAGTTCTCGGCCAGGAGGGCAGGAATGCAGCCAGGGAGCCCCAGGCCCTTGACCGGGGTGCAGCCCAGGGCCGGGTCCTGGTTCTCAGAGTCCTCCAGTCTGTCTGTGTGGTTGTCCCAGTTGATGTGGAAGCGGGTGACCCGGGGGTTGGCGGCTAAGATGTTCCGCTGGAGCTGGGGCGGGGTAGAGACATGTCACTGCCACTTCCTTGGAGCCAGGACCCCTTGCCTCCTCCGTGCCCCCACCTCTTTTCCGCCAGGACAGACCAAGCTGACTGGAAGTCCCCGAGCACGCGAGGGCCTCCATGTCCTGCCTGTTCGGAAGGCACTTATTTGCGAGACAGGGGTGGAGAAGGAGAGCAGGCACGGAGGGAGCTGGGGCCCCTGCAGCCCTCCCTGGATGATGGCAGCAGCTCACCCCAGTCTCCCCCGAGCGCGGGCAGTAAAGGCCCAGGTCCTTGAGCTCTTGTTGCTGCAGCCCCCGGCTCTGCTTGAGTGGGAGATCAGAGCTGGAACTCTGCCCCCTCTTGGGGTGCTCCTGCATTTGATGCGGGGGTCCTCACCCCGCTGGCCGGCTAACCCCGCCCGGGGCCTGCCTTAGCCACCGTACGCAGTCCAGCGCTGCTGGTACCAATCTCACTGCGGTGACCTCGGCTGCCAACGACAATGGCTCCCTCTCCCACGGCGTCTGTGTGTGGGGGGCTGTTGGAGAAGGCACCGCTCCCACCCCCAGCCGGAAGTCGAGGCAGGCAGCCCCCACCTGTGAGAAGTCGGGCTTGGCGGGCGGGCTCTCCCGCAGCTCCAGGCTGGGGTACTCGTTGTTGACGTAGTAGCCCACGCGGATGAACTCCTGCCGCCGGTAGGTGCAAGTGAGGAGCAGCACGGTCACTCCCACGGCGTCGCTTTCCGGGATGAGGGACGGGTTGGGGGCGTCGGCCTGGGGCGTGGGGAGGAGAGAAGACACAGGGCTGGGCGCCAGCATCACTGCCACGGGCTCACTGTCCTGGGGCAGAACGTGGATGGGGGTGGGGAGACCCGAAAACACAGGACCCCTTCTTCAAAGGCCGCCCCGCGCCCCAACGCTGAGACCCCAGGAGTGGGAGCTGCTAGGATTAGGACAATGGCAGCACCCCACAACTTGGGGTGCTCTTAGCCATCTGAAAAGCTTGCAACCTGCATTTTATAAAAATGCAAATCAACACCAAGAGAAGACAGAGGACAGAACAAGTCAACCAACCACCTCAGCCATAGGTTGGCAGCGAAATACTGGGCAAATGAAGACTCTATGATGGACTATGTCAATCAGTGGATTCCTCAACGACCTCATCGTGCTTGGAGTGGTGAGACTGACAGCGATTCATGACTGGTGAACTATCAAAACCACTTGAGCAGGACCCTCGGAGCATGCCCCACATCAGGGACCTGGGATGGGTGGGAGACTGGGTGGGGCTTCTCCCTCCATATCCCCCTTTACCTCAGATACATGAAGGAAACAATATGGAACTAAGAGTCTGACCCACTTTCCTGCAGCCCTTGAACCTTTTAACCCTAATTAACTATGTTAAGATTGTCAAAATATAATAAAAAATGAAAAAAAAAAAAAGTGCAAATCAGCGAACACAGCATCCGTGCGGGACCTGAACTGCTCTCTTACGCTGCCCTGATGCCCCAAGGGCCTGGCGAGTCCCAACCAGGTCCCCTGGCCCTTGGTTCTCCGGGCCATCCTCGTGGCCCGCCGCCCCAGGGTGTTTCTGCAGGAGGTCAGCAGCCGGAGCTGGGGCGATACCCAGCAGGTGCTTTGCTGACGCCATCCCCTTGTTCGGTCACGTCTGCCCGGGTCAAGAACTCGCCCACTTGCTAAAACAATACGTGGTCGCCGGACACGTATGCTTCGGCCTCGGGCCTAACACGTGAGGCGCTGCCCTCTGGCTCCCAGGAGACTTCCAGAGGACCAGGCCACGTTGTGTGTGTGTGTTTTGTTTTTTTTCCATCAGTGAGTTCATGTTAAAAAACAGCTCTCAACTTGGTGGTACTATGGCGCAGTGCGCGTCTGCCTTCAATCCCGGCATCCCACAGGGACACCGATTCACATCCTGGCTGCCCCACTTCTCACCCAGCTCCCTGCCTGCGGCCTGGGACAGCAGTGGAGGACGGCCCACAGCCTTGGGACCCTGCGCCTGCTCCTGGCTCCTGGCTTCTGGCTTTGATCTGGCCCAGTCCTGGTTCTTGCAGCCATCTGGGGAGTGAACCAGCACGTGGAAGATATATCTCTCCCTCTCTCTCTAACTCTGCCTTTCAAATCAAAATAAATAAATCTTAAACAAAAAAAAGAGTCAGCTCTACAGAGAGGAGGAGAGACAGAGAGGAAGATCTTCCATCTGCTGGTTCACTCCCCAAGTGACCGCAATGGCTTGAACTACCCTGAGCTGAAGCCGGGCGCCTGGAACTTTCTCCGAGTCTCCCACACACGGCTGCAACGACTGGAGCTGAGCTGATCTACAGTCAGGAGCCAGGAGCTTCTTCCAGGTCTCCCACGCGGGTGCAGGGTCCCAAGGCCTTGGGCCGTCCTCCACTGCTTTCCCAAGCCACAGGCAGGGAGTTGGATGGGAAGTGGAGCCTCCAGGATTCGAACCAGTGTCCATTTGGAATCCCAGCGCATTCAACGTGAGGACTTTAGCTGCTAAGCTGCCTGTGGGCCCAGTGTGTGTTCCACCCTGGGCGTCCATCGCGAGGGGTACCGGCCGTAGCCCAGCATCCGTGTGGGAGCCAGGACCGTGCGGGCTGGGTCTCAACTTTTTTCTTTTTTTGCACTGACAGAAACTCAGGCTGGGTGGTTCAGTATTCATGCGTGTTACTAACTCAATGACACTGCCGGGCAGCCCCGAGAAGCACGGCTCGCAGCAGTAAGAGCCCTTCCGAGAGCACGCTGAGGCTTTGAAGCTGGACTTCAGACGGCCGGCTGGCCCACCCAGGGCCCGGGCATCTTCCTGCTCACCTGGAAAACGAACATGTGCCTTCCGGCGGGCACTGGACCGACCAGTACCGAGTCCAAGATCTGGTCAAACTCCTCGCTCTCGGCTGAGCCCACGTAGATAATCTTCCACTCCAGGTCTGCGGGGACATGGGCCACAACAGGGGGTGAGGACCCATCCGACAGGACATTCCAGGATCTGGGCACATCTGGGCACAAGGGGAGGATGGGCGGGGTGTGTGTGTGTGATGACTTGTCTCCCAGGGGCCTAGCCCTGCCCTGGGGTGACCTCGGCTGTGTCCTGTGGAATCGGCATGGGCCCCTTGGGGCCTGCTCTGCGGTGACCCGGATGGCAGCAGCTCTGTCAAGCCACGTGAGCCCTGGCAGAGCCAGGGAGGGGACAGCCCTGGAGTTGGAGTCGGGTCATTTCGGGGCCCTGCCCACTTGATGCCCAGAGCTGGCTGGCAGCATCCTCTTTCACACACAGGGCCCTGTGCCACCAAGTGGGGAGGTGATCCCTCGACAACTGGGGCACGGCGGCAGATTCCGGCGTGCCTGGGGAGATGGGAGAGAAGTGGCAGGCTTGGGCGGGGTGAGGGGGGTGCACGGCGAGGCTGCACGGAGATCCGTCACCAAGCTCCAGTCACTTCAAGATGCCCATAGGGCAGGGGGCCGGAGGAGTCCAGCAGGGACCTTCATCCAGTAGGGGGGGCCCAGCCCTGAGCCCCCATCTCAGCCCCTTGGGGTGGAATGGGGGCTGGAGGGACAGCGAGGGCACCAGCTCAGCCCACCCGTTGTCCCAGGAAACTCCCAGCGACTACAGCCCCTGGAGGAAGAGCCAAGTGTACCAGGGGCAAGGTCACGCTAGCCCGGGGCAGCTGGGGACCAGCCCAGAGGCACTTATTTTAGGTTCTTTGGGATTACACAACCCGTGGGCCAGGCAGCTGGGCAAGTTTCACAAGCCGTGATTTTTACAGGAAGTCAACCTGCGGGAAGCCACCCGTTCCATCCCTCGGTCCAGCGTCACCCTGGGCCTGGAGGGGAGAGGGGAGATCTTTTTCTTCGATGTACACACATCCGCTCCCTCAGCCTCTCACACAGGTGCGGCTACTTGGGGAAAGCCCTGCAGGGCTGGGGTGAGGGGCTGCTCGGGAAGACCACCGGCCACAGCCCCCCGCCTCTGTCACCCGTCCAGGAAGACCAGAAATGTCACACTACTCTAGCTCTCACTCTCTCTCCGAGGGGCAGGGCAGGAGGCGGGCAGAGGAATCCCATCTTCCGGTTCACCCCTGAAATGCCTGTGAGAACTAGCAGCTCCACCCGGGTGAGTGACAGGGATCCAGGTCATGGTGCCATGGTGCACGGTCGCAGGGAGCTGGACTCAGGGCTTCAAACCCAGAAACTCCAGGGATGGGACACGGGCATCCCGAGGGACCTGCTGCAGGCTCCTGCTGGCCCCTTCTGGAGGAGTGAGAACCAGTGCGTGGGTGGGAGGGTATGTCAGCTCTGGGTCCCTTCCTTTAATGTGCCGTAGGGGGGCAGCGGGATGGACTGAATCCGATCAGAACCCCCAGGGCACCTCAGTTATTCCGGGTTAGCCAGCTGACACGGCGAGTTCCTGGCACAAATCCAAACCCCAGGGCCGGGTGCTGTGGTATAGCAGGTGGATCTGCCACTTGGGACGACTACCATCAGGGGAGTGGTTCCAGTCCTGGCAATGGATGGCTCAAGGCCTAGGGTCCCTGCCACCCACAGGGGCGCCCTGGACGGAGTGCCAGCCTTCCTCCTGGCTGGGGCAGTTACTTCGGGAGTGAACCGGCATGGGGGAGATCTCTGCTTCTCCCTCCGGAATTCCGCCTTGCAGATCACTGAACAAGTGGCTCGAGTACTGAGGCAGCGGACGACCCGAGCGCGGCCCTCCAAGCTGCATCACGCCCACCACAAGGAGGAAATAGTTGAGGGGGGAAAATGCCACTTATTCATGTCACTGTTTCCCTAACAACATAACTATGTCCGTGGTACTGACATTGGCCTACGTATTTCAAGTAGCCTAGAAAAGATGTAAAGGCCAGTATGACGGATCAATTGGCTCATCTCTCCTCCCCCTGCAGGAGCCGCAATTCATGTCCTGGCAGCCCCACTTCCCACCCAGCTCCCTGCCTGTGGCCTGGGAAAGCAGTGGAGGACAGCCCAGAGCCTTGGGACTCTGCATCCACTTGGGGGACCTGGAAGAGGCTCCTGGCTCCTGGCTTCAGATTGACTCAGCTCCAGCCATTGTGGCCGCGTGGGGAGTGAACTAGCAGATGGAAGATCTTTGTCTCTCCTCTCTGTGGATCTGTCTTTCCAATGAAAATAAACAGATCTTAAGGAAGGAAGGAGGAAAGAAAGATTCAGAGTGACAGAAAGAAGGAAAAAAGAGCCAACAGCCAGGACTGGACCAGGCTGAAGGCCGGACCAAGCACACAGCCTGGGTGTCCCAGGTGGTGGCAGGGACTTAGGCAGGGCCAGGCTGGATCGGTAGGAAGCCGGGTCAGAAGCTGGACAGCCGGGCCTGGATTTGGCTGTGATGGTGCTGTGGGCGTCCCAAGCAGCGGCCTAACCCGCAGCACCACGTACCCCCCACTATTCAAAGGATCTTACAGCAGACATTCTCTGGGTCCCACTTGTCTGGGTCCCATTTGGCATCCCTGACTTACTCAACTGCAGCAGAACAGGGGCGGTGGGCAGAGCACACACACACATATTCCCAGTGTGCACTTCGGGGTTGCACCTACGCTTGGGGGTCCCAAGAAATAACGGGGCACCACAAGGGGGGGGGGGTGGCAGGGGCTTTGGAGTCTGAAGGAAAAGTTCTGCAGCTGACACCTGTGCAGGTGCCCAGCCCCACACGGGGAAGGCCTGCTTGGCCAGCACGGCGCAGAGCCCAGGAGCTGCGCGCCGGGCGGCTGTGTGACCTGGGAGACGTGGTGGGGTTTCTATGCCAGCATGACAACGGGCAGCCTTCCCCGCACTATTTCCTGCTCGGATTCTATAAATAAAGTTGGTGAAGGAGCAGGACCCGGGGCTCCGTAGGAATCAAAACTACGAGCCCATGACCACGCACCCATTTTTAAACACCAGGAGCCAACAGGCTGCCGGAAACCCGATCCGGGGCCAGCTGGGCCCTGTGAATCCCTTCCCCTGCTAGCTCCTCCTGGCTTTTAAATTAAATCTTGGGCCGCGGCGGGCCGGCGGCGTCACGCTACACTTTATTTATTTATTTACACGCTGCCCTGTTCCAGAAAGGGATTCTATAGTCAGTCACCAGCAGGACTCCCTCCTGCCCCGACCACCGGGGGGCGCTGCTAAGCAGCCCACACTCCATGCAGGCGCCACTTGTGGGCGGCTACCCCTTTCTCCCAAGGCCACCCACGGGGCATGGACAGACACAGCTACCCCCTGCCCCCAGGCCTCCGGGCCGCACACACGCCACCGCCCTGAGAACTTCCTCCACAGAGCAGGAAGGCTGTGGTTGGCCGAGGGGCTGAGCCGGCCAGGGGAAGCCTCGCGCCTCGGCCCTTGCGCAGCTCAGCCAAGCCCACCATCAGACCCCACGGCAACTGGCGGAGCCCCCAGAAAACCGGGCCACCCCCCTGCTCAGCGCCACCCTGGCAGACCTCAAGGTGGGGTGGGGAGGGGTGGGGGCAGAGGGAAGCCAGGGTTTGCACCCTGGTAGGAAGCAAGTGATTAGGGCGGGACGACTGAGATATTAGCAGATGAGGAGGGTGCTGGGGTGAGTGCACTTACTGGGGGCTGCGCTGGTGTGTTCACACATAGAAAGGAGGGTGGCATGGGGGTGGGGAAGGAGGGAGGGTGCTGGAGTCTTCATGGGAGGGGTGAGAAGAGAGGGTCTGGGGTCTTCATGGGAGGGGTGAGAAGAGAGGGTCTGGGGTCTCCATGGAGGAGGGGTGAGGCTGCTGGGGTCTCCATGGAGAGGTGAGGGTGCTGGGGACCCCATGGAGGAGTGAGGATGCTGGGGTCCCCGTGGAGGGGTGAGGGTGCTGGGGTCCCCGTGGAGGGGTGAAGGTGCTGGGGATCCCATGGAGGAGGGGTGAGGGTGCTGGGGTCTTGGTGGAGGGGTGAGGGTGCTGGGGTCCCCGTGGAGGAGGGGTGAGGGTCCTGGGGTCCCCGTGGAGGAGGGGTGAGGGTGCTGGGGGCCCCGTGGAGGGGTGAGGGTGCTGGGGTTCCCGTGGAGGAGGGGTGAGGGTGCTGGGGTCTCGGTGGAGGGGTGAGGGTGCTGGGGTCTTGGTGGAGGGGTGAGGGTGCTGGGGTCTCGGTGGAGGGGTGAGGGTGCTGGGGTCTTGGTGGAGGGGTGAGGGTGCTGGGGTCTCGGTGGAGGGGTGAGGGTGCTGGGGTCTTGGTGGAGGGGTGAGGGTGCTGGGGTCCCCGTGGAGGAGGGGTGAGGGTGCTGGGGACCCCGTGGAGGGGTGAGGGTGCTGGGGTTCCCGTGGAGGAGGGGTGAGGGTGCTGGGGTCTCGGTGGAGGGGTGAGGGTGCTGGGGTCTCGGTGGAGGGGTGAGGGTGCTGGGGATCCCGTGGAGGAGGGGTGAGGGTGCTGGGGTCTCGGTGGAGGGGTGAGGGTGCTGGGGACCCCGTGGAGGAGGGGTGAGGGTGCTGGGGTCCCCGTGGAGGGGTGAGGGTGCTGGGGGCCCCGTGGAGGGGTGAGGGTGCTGGGGTCCCCGTGGAGGGGCCGGGGTGACGGTGCAGGTCTGGCCGGGGGAGGGAAGCCCTGGGGTGCGGTTAGCGTGGAGGCAGAACAGGCCTTGAACGGGAAGGCGGATGCCCGGGAGGAGATCCGCCGGGAAAGAGAGGGCGGTCATGGGGGTCTTGGGGCGGGCGGGTCGGGGGGGTTTCGGGCTGGGATCCGAGCGGCCCGAGGGGGTCGGGGTCGCCTGACCGGGACCCGGCGGGGAGTTGGGGGTGAAGGGGCGACCCCCGGCAGCCGCCCAGCCTCACCGTCCGCCAGGGCCTCGTTGCACTCGAAGCTGATCTCGAAGCGGAAGGGGCTGTGGAAGGGGCTGGGGTTCTCCAGCACGGCCACGTTCAGCACCGACACCTTGGCCATGGTGGGGGCCGGCTGCGAGGGGGCGGCCCGAGGTGGGCAGTCACTCCCGTCGCCGGCGCCGCCGCCTCCTCTAGGCTGACGGGAAACGCGCACCGCGTCCGCGCGCCGCCTTCAAATCACCGGCTCCACCCCCGCAGCCAATCGAGCCAGCCAATCCTCGAGCGCCTCCGGCGCGCGCCCGGATTCCTCCAGCCAATCCGCGGGGGTCTCTCTCTGCGGAGTTGCGAGGGGAGGCGGGACCGTCTCTACAACCAATCCCAGGCGTCTCCGACTCGGGGGAGGTCGAAAGCGGGGTGGGCGGAGTCAAGGCGCGAGGCGCGCTCTCAACCAATCGCGAGGCTTCCCGCACAGGCGTGGCCCGCCCCTCCGCACGTCCATCAGCCGGGCAGCACCGCCAACGGCCGAGCGGTGGCGCGCCGCGCTCGCTGAAGAGGGCGGAAAGGCGGGACTCTCGCCGCCGGTGATTGGCAGGCGGCAATTAAGGCGGGGGATAAAGTAGGATCTTGAGATATCATTGGCTAAGATAACTGTTGGGGGCGGGAGCAGAGGCCGGGGAAATGATGAAGCAAGATCTTTTTTTTTTTTTTAACTTTTTTTTTTTATTACATTGCATCATGAGACATAGTTTTACAGGCACTTGGATTCCCCCCTCCCCTCCCCAAAACCCGCTCCTCCCCCCATGGTGGATTCTTCCATCTTGTTTTATTACCACAGATCAAATTCAGTTGAGATTTTTTTTCCTTGCAAGCATCTACAAAACATAGAGTCCAGCATCTTATTGTGCAGATAAGTTCATCAGTTTCATGGGGAGACAGTTTCTGGTCTGAAGGTACAGCCGAAAGAATATCATCCCAATCAATTGAAAGCCCAGACATTACATCAGTAACAATTTATAACGTACCAGAATTAGTTGAAATGATATTGTGTAACCAGCATGTTCAAAGAGAGAGAGAGGAAAAAGAGTGCAAGCTCTGAACCACATCCTATGACTTCTACATTGACATTACAATTATTAGTTTATATACAGCTGGGTTCTATACACCTTAAAATGGCTATAGATTACTATTCAGCTGTCTCATGTCTATTTTAATTTTAGTATTTAGCAGTTCATAGCGTTGAAGCCTGATTTTGCAGAACCTGGCTGTTTTTCGGGTAGTCTAACTCTATAACTGTAACAAGACATATGTCAACAGTTTAGGTGAACGGTTTTAGGAGGGGTGTGCAGAGAAATCCTCAATACCCTAGTGAGGAGCAACCAATCTTCGTGTCCCACCCAGTGAGTTATAAGTGCATCCCCACTGCCCGTTTCCTGTTTCTAAGCTTTCCTCGCTGTTCTCCATCTATTCTAGGGGGGTTTTTTGTTTGTTTGTTTATTTGTTTGTTTATTTTGAGGGGTTTCTGGAGCAATCCTGATGGTCATTATGAGAGAGAGTGGGGACCCAAAATTAGAACCAGGCAAGAACCAGAGAAAGCTCCTCTCCCTAGTCCTGAAGGAAGTTTACTGTTTTGTTTCTGCGGACCACTCAGTGCTCCTGGTTGTCGTTCCGATGACCTTGGATCCTGCAAGGCAGGGTATGGGCTTCTTCTATCCCATGTGTGAGACCCAAATGGAAATGTGTGACCTCAGAGTTCTCGGCCTCCGAAGGCACTCCAATTCCCCGTGGTCTCCTTGGCGATTGGGATGTAGTCCTCGGAGCTCGTACTGATAGTCCTTGGTGAGGATCTAGGAGTCTTCAGAGTTGGGATACAAGCTTCCTCCTGTCTGCCTGCTCCACTCTGGGGTCCCCCCCCCCGAAGCAAGATCTTGAGGGTCATTGGCTGGGCTGGCTTCTGGGGGCGGGAGTGGGGCGGGGATAAAGCAGGATCTTGAGACTCATTGGCTAGGATGGCCATTGAGGGCGGAGCCCTGGGGTCCAAGGCCTTGGAGAGGGGGTCGGACCTGCCATAGTTGGATCGAGACCCGGTAAGGAACTCTAACGAAAGATACGGAAAATGGGGCTTGGCGGCTGGGGACGAAACCTCACGCTGCTGCACCGGGAACCCAGAAAAGTGCGCTCAGCAGGGCTCCTGGCGGCTTCGTAACTTCTGGAAACTTCTCACCAGGACTCCCCGGGGCCACCCCGCCGTCAGGGTCACGCATCAAGGACTTTAGTTCAGGCTCTCTCCTGTCTTTCTACACCCCAGGCTCCTGTGGGGACGGTGCGCTGGCTGTCCTGCACCTTGGGTGGCTTTTAGACCATGTTTACGCTCAGGTTGTTGTGCTGCTCCATCCCCTGGCCACCATGAGGTGTGGAGGGAGGTGGGAGGAACACTTGTTGTGTGTGTGTGTGTGTGTGTGTGTGTCCGCAAGGGAGGGGACCACTCCTTGCTGTCCATCAGCAGCCGAGGACGGGCGATGCCTTGGAGACGCCAGTAGGGGAAGGCTGTCGCGAGGGTGCTGCTGGAATGGCTTTGATGGTTGTGAGAAGTTACTGGTTCCCTTGCTCCAGGGTTGAGGAGACCTTTGCTGGGAGACCATCTGTTGGTTGATCACGTCCACCGTAGTGCACCCCCAGACCCAGACCCACCCTGCAGAGCTTGGCCAGGAGAGCGCCACCCCCACCGTCCCCACCTGCCCTGCTTTCCCTCCTCTGACAGGGCAGCTGCCCCCCCTGCTGGCCGGCAGGAGCTAGCTGTCATGTCCTCCTGGTCACTGCACAGGCGTCAGCCATGGAGGAGGCCCAGTCCCGATCCGACAGCACGGCCTGGGATGACGCGAATCCTGTGCGCTCCGGCCACGGCGGGGTCAGGTTTGGTCTGTCGCCTGCACTGGCCAGGGTACATACTGCTGGATACAGCTGCCTTGGTCAGTTCAGCCCCAGCCCCGTCTCTCACGCAGCCCTGCCAGCCCACCGCAGACTTGGTCCTCATGCATACCAGCCGGTACTGCAGCCTAGAGAACCCCAATAACTCCCACAGGGACCCCCCAGCCTTGGTGTTTGCGCTTGGTGCCTCTGCTGCAGCCTAGCCCACCCAGCCCACATCCCATCTGGTGTTCACACACACCCCACCCATGGGTGCTGGGGCTTAGTTCAGCCCACTGTACTACACCAGGCCCAGATTTTTAGTTAACTGTAGTGTTTCAAATATATTGTTCCATCCTTTCGCCTCAGAGAAGACTTCCTTCGGGGGTGGGTGGTGGGGGGCGGATTGTCCCCGTGAGGCGAGAATGACACAAACTCTTACCTCGTGGTGGGGCTGGCTGGCCTGGCTGGTGGGCATCGCAGGGAGTATTTGGCTAGCCGCCTCCTCAGACCGCGTCAGGTCCACCCCCGGCAGCAGCCCTGGGGCCAGGCGCCAAGCGGGGGGCCCTGAGAAGGAACCCCTCTTCGTGGGGTGCCGCCCACGATTCCTAGACGCCGCCCATCCGGCGCAGGTTGTTCAACGGGGCAGTCCCAGGAGGCATGGGCACAACCAGGCTGTCGTACCAAGCGGCAGTCCCATTGCAGGCCAACGCTGCGCTGTAACCGTGTCAGTCTCACCCAGGGACCAGGGCTGGCTAGCGAGACGCAGGCCAGAGGCAGGCCAGGGCTCTGCAATGCCAGTGCTGAGCTGGGGTGTGCTCTCTGTGTGTGTGTGTGTGTACCGTGAAGATACCGAGGCAGAGCTGGCCACTTCAAGTCAGCGTGCAGTGCCACCATGTATAGCAACACCCTTGGACAGGCCCACTGATCGAACCCGGTCCAGCATGGGAACCCCCAGCCCTGTCTTCAGTTGGACGTGTGTGTAGGTTTGGGGGCTGTCATTCACTCAGGGTCGGGGGGGTCTTGTGGCACAGTGGGTTAAGCTGATGTTGCTTGTTGGGGGGGGTGTCCGCATGGCACATTGGGGTCCTGGCTACTGTGCTTCCTGTCAGGCAGCATGAGGATGCTGGGGCTCACTTCGGGGGACCTGGGGGTCTGTGGGTGAGGACGCTTGCTCTGGGGCCTCATGGGCCACCATGCTGACCTTGACAAGGAGCGCAAGAGGGAGACCAACAGTTTGCAGCATCCCTCTGGCTCATGAGTCGAGACAAGCCTGCAGAGGGACGGTTCGAGGACCCCCACACCCACAGCAGCTGGCCTGCACCCCAGGGTGCGGCCCTGAAGGCCTCATGACCGACATTTACCATCAGGCGAGCTTGAGGGTCGGAAGCAAGGAGAGGAGGGACCCAGGCGCCATGAGCTCGAGTGGAGTGATGGCCACATCCTTGCGAGAGGGGCTGAGGACAGGGGAGGTAGCTGATGGGTCTCGATTGGTACCCAGGAAAGAACAGGTGGAGTACCTGCCAGGCACGCAGAGGGTGGCCACGTGGGCATATACAGGCATTAACTTTGCCCCGTGTATTCTCTCAGCACACAGATGAGAGCCCTAACCAGACAGGGCAGCGGCTGGCAGTGGATATGGGAGGGTGCGGCGTAGGCACGGCGTTGGAGAGCATCTTTGCAGGGGAGCCGGCCCCCACATCCTCATCCCGCAGCACGTGGGGGACCAGGAAGGGCAGGGACAGTCAGTTTGCTAGGAACCACCCCCTCCAGCCACTGCCCGGTGCACTGGGCCCAGACAGGCAGGTCAAGGCCTTCTCTGACCTAGAAAACTGAACACAGCGGCCCAGCTGGAGACCTGGGCGTGTGTCTGTCCAGCGGCTGTAACAGCTGGCTCCCTGGGACACTTGTGAGAGCTGACAGGTTCATGGCCAGGGTCCACAGCGCTCACCTGGAAGTTCCTCTGGGTGTCAGACGCCCGACCGGCCTGTCCCCACACCGGTGTCACACTCCCACCCCCTGCCACCAAGGACGCACACCACTCTGGTCACTCCAAGAAATGTTAATTTCTTTATTGACTTTTTTTTTTTGACTCAACAATTCTTTTTTTTTTTTTTTTTAGTTTTTGTTTTTTTCTGAAACGTTCTTTTGTTATGAGCCTTTTGTTTTGTTCTCGTTAAATGCACTCGACCCAAAATTGGTTTGGCATATCGAAAA